ATTTTTTTTATTTTTTTTTTTCCCCCCCCCCCCCCCCCCCCCCCCCCCCCTGTTCTGCCATAGGCCGTACCGGTGCTCACTGAAGTATCCTGTTGACCCACGAGACCGGTCCCATCATGGCAGCAAGCTCTCGGACCCCGCTTTGACACGTGTTGGTCCTTTGGGCTACTCATCCCTTTGCGCGCGTGTTCATCAAGATAAAGCCGCTGCTTGCCTACCTGCGGGCCTGCCCGCTTCTCCTGTCTTGTTGGTCTGTCTACCCCGCCGTTGTATCTGTACATGTTCCGTGTGTGTAGTGACTGTGGTGAGTGTTTGGTGTTGCAAGTGCGTGCTCAGCCAAGGTGCGTCAAAAGGTGGAAGGCTACTGGTGATGAAATCAATAACAGTGACACGATGGCATATTCTGTGGGCCGGCAGCACCAATGCCAGAAAGAGAAACGTGCTGCCAAGGCACTTGCTTCAATTTTGAAGATGCGTAGGTTGACCGCTGGGCATTAAAAGTTGTCCAGAAGCATAGACACAGACACTCTACATTTGTGTGTCGCTTAGAATGGGAAGAACCTTGATCAAAGACAGCTTGTCCAAAAACGTCTGTCCGTTGGCCTGCAGGAGGCGCAGGACCCCTGCCAGCAACAGCTGCAGCTTGAGTCGCCGCTCCTCCACCACTCGAAACTCCTCGTCCTCGGCCGTCACCGTGACCTAAACAGCGGTAAACACAAGAAAGGCTCAACTTGTGAGAAGTTGTCACGCTCACAGCCAACGATAGCCACGTCGAGCTACACACCTTTGGGGGAAATTCAAGCTGACCAATGCCTGGCACGCGGGCGGCCAACGCTGCACAAGCCTGGCACAGTTGGCCGCAACGTCGCTTGACGGCCCACATATCCAATCCTACGGTCACGACCACTTCATACATGTGGCGATCGTCGCACAGCGGCGTGTCTTCGATCCGTCGTGCCACGGGCACGCTGACCACGGGTTGGTAGAACTTGCGCAGCAAATCCCGGGTTCCCGCCGGCACCAAGCTAGGGTCCAAGGGCCGCATGGCCGCGCCCGTCACCAAGGCCAGTTGGAGCTGATCCCACAGCTTTTGTGTCAGCTCCACCGTCTCGTCGTACTTCTCCTGCAGATCTGCAACCTGATCGGTCAGCTCCATGAGCTCCTTGCGCACCTCGTCCTTGCTTGTCGGCTTGTTGGCTGCTGACATGGTAGCCCGTCGCATCCGTTGCTCGCTGATCAACTGCGTCTCCAATTGCACCGTCTTGGCCTTGAACTGGTCTCGCTCGTCGCGCAGCGCAGCCAGTGCTTCGGTTTGTCGCTGTTGTTGCTCAAGCATGTCACGCTGCATACCCCCGAGCTTGGCCATAAAGTCGCTTTGCAGCGTGCTGACCTGATTCATGAGCTCTGCCTGTCGATCCATGGCCTCGTTGCGCTGACGCCGCTCCCGTTCCAACTCATCGTTGTGCATGCGACGCATCTGCTCGAGCTGGTTACTCAACTGCTCTCGATCGCGAGCCGCATTCTGCTGCACAAATGCCAGCTGCTGACGCAACTGATGGCCGTTTTGCATCTCCATTTGGTAAGCCGCCTGCAGCGTTTGCGTGAATTGCTGTCATGTGGCAGGGTATGCCACGTGCAAAGCATAAAAGGCAAAAAAGAAAAAAAAAAAAAAAAAAAAAAAAGTAGAGCCGGTCCAGCAGAAATGAGCACAAATTAAATCCAAAAACAGTCCCGAGTCGACGTATCATCTTCGATGCGACTGGACAAAGAACGAAGCGCCTAATATCCTTTCCCAGCCAGCTTCTTACCGCATTGCCATCAGAGCCCATCATGGGCATCATGCCACCTTGACCACCCATCATGTTCATGCCGCCCATGCCGCCCATGCCGCCCATGTTGCCCATACCGCCCATGCCACCTTGGCCACCCATCATGTTCATCCCACCCATGCCGCCCATGGTACCCATCATACCGCCCATGGGATTCATACCGCCCATATGGTTCATGCCACTCCCCATCATGCCGGCGGCATTGTTGTTTGACATGCCCACGGCACCCATGCCAGCGCCAGCTCCCATAGCATTTGACATTGGCGATTCCATGCCCAAGCTCGCGCCGCTGCTGTTGGCCATGCCGGCCGCGGCTTGCGGCGTCCCTGTGCTGGCATTTGTGCTCGGGCCGGGGTTGACAGCTCCATCTGCACTACCTGCCTGCGGCGAGGCATTGGCGTCGCCCATTTTTTGCAGCTGGGCCACGACCTCTTGGTGCTCGAGCAGTGTTGCAATCTGCATGGGCTTGAACCCGCGCTAAAGCAAGAGCACCCCCATGATAAGCCAAAAAAAAAAAAAAAAAAAAAAAAAAAAAAAAAAAAAAAAAAAAAAAAAAAAAAAAAAAGGTTGAGTCGAGGCTGACCAGCACATACCACTTCGAGGTTGCACAGAGGAAGCAAATCAAAGTTTTGCGTAACGGCTTTGAGTGCCTTGAGGTTGCCGTTGACACACAACCAGTGCAGGACCGAGAAGCCCAACTGTGGATCACGATGTAAAGGTTACCTCGGCTCGACAGGAAAGGCGGATAGCCCTCGCGCAGATACCGTATCGTACCTGCTGATCCCGCAATGAGGTCGCGGCTTCTTGGTCGACCTTCTCCGCGCGGAGTTGAGTCGCAATGTCAACGGGGTCACCGCGCAAGCAAGCCAGCAAAAACTTGGACTCCGCCTCAGCCGTGAGGTGCGCTGGAACAAGCAAGTCAGGCATCATTACCGGCGTGAGCCAAAATTCAATGCCAGCGCTGCCTCAGCAACAGCGCACCCACCATGTTTGCCAATGAGGTGCACCAGCTGTACACTTGTTTCTTTGGTTAAGGTTGAAATTCTTGAATCAGGCCAGCCGTGACGGCGTGAGAATAGCCATTAATAGTGAGGGGCAGGGTCAAAAGCAAGGGTTGAGTGACTCACTCGACGGCTTCCATGGGCGGTGTCTGAGCCAAGCCCACAGCCACGGCTCGCAAAGTCGGCACTTCAAGCTTCTTGGCCTTGATTCTGACACCAGCAAAGACAATTGATCCCCACACGGGCAAGACGGCAGTGCGTTTCGAAGATGAGTTCAATGATATGCAGCGGTAAGGGCGGATGGGATGAGGATGGACCGCAAGTCGTGACGCACTCGAGCGTTTTGAGGGCCTTGAGCTGGGGAAGGACGTTTGCAACGGCCAACACGGCCTTGTCCTTGACTTTGTTCTTTGATACGCTGCAAGATCGACACGGCCATCCATATCATGAACGGTGACAGGCTCAGCCCGACGCTCTAAAGGCGGGGCAGCGGCCACACGTACTCAAAGGTTTGAAGGGAGGCCGCCACAGTCGGTAGGGCCTGAGCCAAAGCCTCCACACCTGCATCTGTCAGCAAATTGTTGTTCAGACTACACCCGATTGTCCCATGCATGCAAAGAGGTCAGTTATTGTTTTGCGCTGGTTGGACCACACATCGCAGCGACAAGGCGGAGTCGACGCACTCAAGAAACTGCAGCTTGGGTGTGCCCACCAGGCCTTGGGCTAGGTAAGCAGCGCCCTCGTCTGTGATTTTGTTGCTGTCCAAACTAAGTGGTGATGCCCGGTTCCCCAACAAAACGCCGGTTTGCACGTATGAGTGGCCAGCGCCCAACATGAAAAGCTTGGGCTTCATCCTGGCTGACAGTGCCAACAACATGGCGAGATCAATGACATACTCGATGGATTCGAGACCCGACATGGTCTTCATGGCTGCACCAAGGGCTTTGATGCCATTGTCCTCGATGCGATTGCCCCAAAGTCTAGGAAAGAGTCGGGCGTGTTTATTCGGGGCGGTGGTACTTTCTGAAGGATAACCGGGAGGGCATGGCCCCTGCGGGGCTAAAGCTTACTTGACAATGCGAAGCTGAGGCATTTTGGCAAAGGCATCGGCCAGATCCTTCATGCCAATATTGCCGACACCGTTGCTGCCTAGGGTGAGGGTGTGTAGCTTCTTGCATTCAGCCAAGCTTCCAGCAATGGCGGATGCGCCGGGGTCACCGACGGTGTTGCTGCCAATGCTGAAAGATTTGGGACCAGAGCAAATATGGTCAGAGGGGGGTTCATAGGGCAATCAAGCAGAATATGGGGCGTTAGCGGTACTGTATGGCGTCTAAGCACGTACTGCAGCACTTGCAGGTCTGGAAGCTGGGGTAGTAAGAGGGCCAGCATTTTGAGGGCAGAGTTGTCAAGGACATTGGAGCGGAGGCTATTGCAAGCAAGCAAGGGTTCAAGAAATGAGCTGCTTGGGTGGGTGCAAGTCCTGTGGGGCCAGCAGAACCCAGCAGACAAGAAAAAGGGATTGCTTACTCGAGTGACTTGACTTTGACCAGGTTCTTTGCAGCATCGAGCAGCTTCTTGATGCCCTCAGCGCCGATCTTATTGCGAGACAAACTGGAGGGCAGCAGCGCGGGGTGGCAAGCATATCAAGGTGCATGGGATCGAGATGCAAGTTCAATAGGTCGTCGATCAATCAAAGCAAGTGGGTACATATGAACAGAGGTGTGTGTGTGTGTGTGTGGGGGGGTTGGAGGGGTGAGGACGTCATCGCACTTTATCGTCTCGAGATTGGGAAGGTCGGTCAGGGCGGCGATCACTTCATCCAAATCATTATCCGTGATGTCACCTTTGGCCAAGCTCAGGCTAGCAGCAGTGGCGTTGAACGTTATCCAGCTCGTGATCACGCGGTTTCGGGGGTGGGCGCGAACAAGAGGCGAGATGGAGCGCCACTCGTGTGGCACGGGATTGACATACGATTTCCAGAAGGATCCCTTGGAGATGGCCAGCTTGAGGTCATCGCGCCAAGCCATGATGAGCGAGCTAATGAATCAACGACGAGGCAGACTGCCGTTAGAAAACCAAAGCGTCACGTCCCTTTCAGAGTCATGGAACGCAGCAGGGCGTGCGGCAACCCATCACGCGACATCATCCACAACCAGCGACACCAAGTCACCGAGCAACCCAAATGCAGGCCAACAGTAAAACAACCAAGAGATCATTGAAATGCAACAACGACCCCTCTTATCCCCTACCCCCTCCCTGCCACCCCATCAGACTCCACACAAACGCAAAGCGCCCCCAGCGCCCCCATCGAGCGCTGCCCTTCCGACACACACACTCACTCGGTCCGTCCGTCTCTCTCTCTCTCTCTCTTTTTGCGCGCGACGCCAGCTCATTCACTGGCAAACTGCTACGATACTGTGATTTAGCTTACACTTTACACTGAACCCCTTGCTTTCTTCTTTTTTCCGTTTTTTAAAAGTTTGAATCCTCATTTAAAACGTTAAATCCGATGTGAATTTTTATTACAATGTCATGTAGGTGGTGTACGAATACGTTTTCCACCATTCGGACGTAAAAAAAAAATTCACAAAAAAAATTCATAATGTTATGGCTTGTTGTGATTTAAAGTTTTACATTGTTTATTTTTTTTTCTTCCTGTTCGTTCAGCTGCTGCGCGCCGCCTGTTCCCTGCTCGAGGAGCTCGGGGTTCCCTGGCCTGGTTCATCGTGGACAGCGGGTTGTTTGGTTCTGGATGAGTGCGGGGAGTGGCGGTTGTGTGGGCGTTGTGTAGGTTTTGGCAGGATGGCGCTGACGGAGGAGCAAGCGCTGCTGGACGTCCTGCGCAACCGTCTCCATGAAGGTGAGTTGACGCACACTGCGGGGCGCTCGGGCCACCGCTCCTGTTTGCCGCACGGCCTTTCCTTCAAGGGGGCTTTTGTTGATGTGCGCTCACCATGGTTCGCTAGGTGTCGATCCCAATCCAAGTGACTCGAGTGACTTGTATCACAGTAGCAGTCCCTTGCGCCAAGCCATGCTGCTTGAACAAGAGGTCCGCTGCGTCTCCCGCCTCAGCCTGTTCTGGTGCTCTCACCACCTCAAAGTGACACATTGCGATTCCCTTTCTCGCAACATCGTGTGTGTGTGTGTGTGTGTGTGTGCATCGCCCCTCCTTGGCTCAAACATCCTTCTTTGTGTGACACAGGCTTTGCACCAGCAGCATCGCTGCTGCAAGCAGGTCGCCCACACCTTCAAGTGCATGCAATTGTAAGTCCATGACAATCTATCCACTGCCTTGAGCCGAATCTTGTGCTTGCTAGACAGAGCCTCATCCAGCCTATGATTCTGCCCTCCAGGCCAGTGACAAAGGAACTGGTGTCGCAACAGGAGACGGTCAGTCGAGTTAAAAACTAGACAGGGGCCGCAGCCTGGTGCCAATCCTGGCCCAAAAAAGCTCACCTCGTGCTTTGCAACGCTTGCCTCAGCTGCAAGGCATGTCCGATGCCCTGATGCGTGTGCGGGAAGATCACCCCGTATCCGATGCCATGCAAGCCTTCTCCCTCATGACCAAGTGCGTTGACTGCTGAATGACCTGCTCTCTGCTGGCCCAGACCCAGCCGCCAGATGCAGGCACCCTGTGCTTGCGCTTTGGTCACGTATTGTGCTGCACGCGCCACCCCACTTGCTAACGCCGTCAACGGGACTCGTGCCTACACTATAGTGAAATGGTGACGCTTCGCCGCGGCTTCAACGACAAAATTAAGCTTCTGTTCGATGTATGCCAAACCAGCTTGCAGCTTGCACACCAATCATCACCGCCCGTAGGCCACAGTCAGTCTCATCACCAACACCACGCGCAGGAACGTGTCCAAACTTGCATTGGCGGTGTCAGCCCGAACGACATGAACACGACCTTCGACAAGCTCGTGGCGACTGTCGAAGGCGCCCGTAGCAAGGTCAAGCTCCCGCACTCAGCGACCGGACATATGCGTTTCACATCGCACCGTCAAAGCCTCACGTCCGGTACTTTCAACTGACTCCACATCTTGGTCAACTAGAATGACAAGAAGAATCGCCGACTCCACGATGAGGATGCACAGCTCACCAAAACCGGCGCTACCATCTATCTCCAAGAGCAGCAGGTAGAACCCTGACACTCACCTTCAGAGCCCGCATTGCTTGCTCACTCCCCGCGACCAATCAGCACCTACTCATCGCGGGTGGCACCGACAACCTTTGCTCCGCGCAGACGGCGCTGGCAGCTTGCCGCTATGCAAAGAATGCGATGCAAGTTCGCGAGCGCCGAGAGGTCGGTCCTTGCATTCATCAAACATGTCACCACTCAACTCCGTCGCCTCATCTGACCAAGCCTGCCTGTCGACGACCTGTCAGATCATGATGGCGGAGATTTTGATGGAGACGTTCGAAACCTATCTACAACACCTCAATCAGAGCGTCGAGATTCTCACCTCTCTTGCCCCAGACTTTGAACTGCTGCGCGAAGCGCTCCAAAAGGTGCGTTCTAGACCGACGCAGCTTGCTCTGCTCAGGAAGCCGCGTGCCCAATACCTTGCTTGCATCACTGACCGCCTACTTGTGACTGCCGTCAAGGACTCGAGCATGATTGCCGATCGTATGGCTGAGGTAGAAGATGTCGAGCAACAATTTGCCGCCTCAGTCACCGATGCTGAGATGTTGTTGAAGGAAGCCACCGAACGCGAGCAACTTCAGGTTGAGCATAAATTTGCTGCATTGTCATCTGCTGGTAGCGAGCTGTTCGCGTCGTCACTTCATTGCCGATACCATAGAAGCAAAATAAGAAAAAGTTTTTTGGCAAGAGCAACAGCAGCGCTAATTTTACCGTTCGTCTCTGCATCCTGCGCAACACCTTGGCCGGGCTTAGTTTTGCCATTGCATCCCTTGAGCCTGGTCCGCGCCGCTCATGATCTGTCTCTCTGTCTCTCTGTCTCTCTGTCTCTCTCTCTGTCTCTCCCTGTGTCTCTCTCTCGCTCTCTCACTCTCCAGGTGTCCATGCAATCACCGGCTGACGTTGCTGCCAATGCTGGCCCCGTACGGAGTACCTCTCATCATGGCAACGCGAGCAATGGATCTGCGCCACCCAACAAACCAGTGCCTGCACCCCCAGCCACTGTCTCGCCTTGTACGTGGCCATCAGATATGGTCCTGTGCTATCGATCCTTAAAGCCGTGTCAATGTGCACAGGACAAAGCTTCCCTCACTGGACAAGCCTCCTCTCCCCGTCCCGCCCTAGTCTCGTCTCCGCAAGTCACACGCAAAGCACCGCCACCACCATCGGGAGCCGTCCCAATGCCGCCGTCCAAGTGCGTCCAAGGCTGATTGTTACACCCGCCGTGGCCTGGACGTGCTCACTAACTTGCGAATACCTCTCTACTCTGTGCATGTGTGCATGTGTGCGTGTGTGCGTGCTAGTGCTAGTCAAGCGGCAGGAAGTGATGCACTCAATGCCCCAAATCAACCTGCCAAGCCCCCTCGGTGAGTCTGCTTTCTTGCGTGCGGAATGCATGGTGTTCAGCAGCATTGCCTGCGGCACCCGACGCTGTTCGGGCAAAGACGATACAGAAACAATTCCATCTGATGTTCTGAATGCCTCATCCCACCTCATCACGCCATGACCGCCCCATGCCGCTGTGCCGCCTGCGCAGTCGCACTCGGCCCGCACCCTCTGCAAGCGAGGAGCCCTCTGAGATTTCTGCTGTCCATCAGCACGAAACAATACCTGAGGCATCACCAGCTTCTACACCCACGCCGGCTCCCAAGCCCCGTCCGAAGCCCCGTCCGCGAGCAACCACGACCAGTACACCGGGCAGTGCATCAGCCTCCCCGGCCACCGCACAGCCGACGCCTCGGGCTAGACCGCGAGTGCAAACGATGGCCGCCGCACCACCCGTCAAGCCCAAGCCGCCGCCACCCCAACCCAAAAGCTACAAGATGATTTTGCAGATGCCATACGGAACAGGTGCGTGCATGCCAGAGCCACGGCAGGCCATCTGCGTCAGCCTTGCTGCGTTGCCGAGAATAGAGCTTACGTTGTAAGGATCTGCAATTGGTAGTGGCGCCGCACATGGGCGACGGCGATGTGCAACGGGCCTTGGGGTTGGAACTATCAGGGGCCATGCCTGTTACCATCACCAAGTGAGTTGCAGCTGTCATTGACTAGCGTGATTTGGGGCTGCATCTGTCCTCAGCTTGCTGATTCGGGTGGTGTGTTGCGTGTTTATAGAGTCATAGATGGCTCGGTGGCGGCAGTGGCGGGTTGTCAGCCCAATTACAAAATTGTTGAAGCCAACGCCGTGGACGTCCGCAATGCCACTATCCCGTTTGTGTGCGCCATCTTCAAGCAGAGCCAGGATGAACTGCATCTGGAAATTGCCTGAGGCAACCCTGATTGTTGCCTTTTCAGCCTTTTGGCGCTGCGCGCAAGGCCGAGAGACCACACGGGCAAAGGCCTCATGATATTTTGTGGCATGGCTTCTCCTGTACATTTCAGCTTGCCATCGCACAAATTGATCGATTCGATACCACATGTCAATTTTGTACACGCAAACACCCGCCAATTAGGACCATTGTCCGGTGAAGTGACTCAAACATGAGCGTACATGTCCACTGAAATTGCCTTGACGAAAAATTACCAGTCGCGTTCGGGTAGCTGGAGGCTTTCGTCGAGCATGTCACTCAGATGACCAGCAATACGCTCGCGCTTGGGGACATAACGCTTGATGCGCAAGACTACGGCGCGGGCGATATAATGGGTGCCTTGTTCATCGGAAGATCCGTCGTGTCCAGCCACAGCGGGGTTAGCAGCCGCGGGGTCTGCGGGGAGACCCCCAGCGGCTGCCGGGGTGTCGTCGTTGCGGGGCCGTGAAGCCGACAAGGGTGCGGTGGCGTTGAACGCAGCCTCGTCAAAGACTTCACCAGGGTTCAAAAAGCGTACCCAAACATCTGACTCATCCAAGGTGAATGCGTAATCGCGATCTGCACACTTTTCGCGCCGATAATTGCTACGAGGATCTGCTCACAGTCAAGCAGAGGCATAAAAAAATAAGACATCACACTCACAAGCGAATGACAAGCAAGGACACAAGAAAAACTGAGGCAAAGAACCAAAGACGAGCCAACCCAAACTAGAAAGACCTACCAGCGGCCAAGATGCTGCTTACGGCCTCTTTGTATTCGTCAATTGATTCAAAGTACTGCAGGTGCGGAGCTGGGGGCACACGCAGGCGCATCAAAGTCAGCGAGGACAGGACGCCGAGATTCAAAGGGAGGGAGCAGGTCAAGAAAGGAAAACGACGACACAGCGGGGTGGAGCGGAGCGTACCGACGTCCTGAAGTTGCTGCTCGGCAGCGCTGGTGTATTGAACCTGCAGCTCCGTGCGTTTTGCCTCTGTTACCCAGGGAGCGATGCGCACTTCGTCGACAGGGCGATCAAAAAACGGCAGATAGGGCTTGACATCGAGGACGGGCGTGCCATCGACCAGATCAATGCCAGCCAGAATGATGGTGTCGCCTTCAATGCGATGCACTTTGCAGAGGCTGAGACCAATGGGGTTGGGGCGATGTGGCGATCGGGTGGCCATGACGCCAACACGCAAGCCACCGGCTTTGGGAGGACGAATCTAACATGCAGCAGGCAAGCCACGTCGCCCTCGATCAAGACGCATGGAGACTGACGGGACAGGCTCAAGACAGGACACAATACCTTGGGCTTGACGGCCACGTTGTCATTGAGATGGAAAAGAAAGATGATCCACACATGGGAGTAGTGATGCAGCCCTTCCAATGCTGGATGATTGTCATTGAAGCAGCGCAATCTGAGTTTGGCCCGAGACATGGGGCAGAGGTTGGGTTGCCGCGGGGTTCCGTTCTAGGTGGTGCGAGAAAGGCATCCGCTTCATCAGCAAAGAGGGGCGCACATCTTCGAAGGTGTATGACGCTTTCCAAAAGTGCTTGTCCTACCTTGCGTTTGAAACATGACTCGATGTAACCGATGGGCTTCAAAGCTTCGTTCCAGTCGGCTCGCTCGTGAATGTCAGCTGGAGACGGGATCGATTCCACGGGTCAAAACAAGCTATGGTTAAAGCGAGGGCGGAAATGGCGCACAAAGGTAGCGGTGCACCTGGTAGCGATGCATCGGGCTGAGAAGCGCCATGGGCGGAGCCCTTGTCCTCGCGTGCGTTGAGTCGATTGGCCACGAGGAAGCGCAGGTGTTCCATCTGCAGATGGTGCACTGCGGGTCATCAAAAGTGCAGCGGAATGTGCCGGGGGGCTGCAAGCCTCCCAGAGACCAGGAAACCTTGAAGAATAAGCCTCACCTGTTTCTCATGCTTGCGCATCATGTCCTTAAATTGCCGGTTGGCGCGCTGGAGTTCCAGCTTGTTGGCCTGCGTTCCAGCATTCAAGATTCACAGCGTCAGCTCAATGATGCGTGCGGTTGTGGTCGCCACGTTCAGCCATGTGTTGTTGTCCACATGCAACACGCACTTTGAGCAATCCTTCAAGCCCGCGAATTTGATCTTGCAGCCGCTGCTTCTCGGATTTGGCAGCCCGTTCCCCCTGAACCGCCTCCAACGACACCGCCGCTCCCGCTGTCGTCATCGCGCTGTCGTCCGTCATTTTTTTTTTTCAAGCAAAATGTCAGAAGAACCACGTGCTCTCGTGTGTGTGTGTGTGTGTGTGTGTGTGTGTGTGTGTGTGTGTGTGTGTGTGTGTGTGTGTGTGTGTGTGTGTGTGTGTGTGTGTGTGTGTGTGTGTGTGTGTGTGTGTGTGTGTGTGTGTGTGTGTGTGTGTGTGTGTGTGTGCTTTCATTTTGTTCTTGTCGCACTGGTTCGGGTTGACCCTCGAGGCCTCTGCCTGGTCTGTCTGTCTCACTCACCTTGCCTCTGTCTCTCAACAACGTTGAGGTAACGATGCCAGTGAGGTTGAGAAGAGAGAATGGTGTGGCGGGCAAGGGGTAGCAGTCGTCAAAGTACCTCAACAACATCCAGATTGACATGATGTGCGTGCCAAAAACAATTTGCCAGATAACATAATAATTGTTATGGGTGAACCCTCTAAAGCGTAATCATATAAAAACGGAAGGGCGGCTCCTAAGGCGTGGTTTCCTAGAGTGCCGTTTCGTCGTTGATGGAATTAAGAGCGTGCAGTGAGCTTTCCACTACCCCAAAGTCCGGCCGCGCTTCGGGGTCACTGCTCCAAAGCCGTTCACAGAGACTGCGTGCAAACCACCCGCCACCAAGGATGTTGGGTGGTCAGTCGAAAAGGCTGCCCAAGAAAACATGTTGCTTGAGACCAATGGATCGATACGAACCGGCAAACATCTGGTGGGCAAGAGTCTGGCATGGTCAGGCGGCCACCATTCCGAATGAATGCTATGACCGCGGCTGCTGGTACACCTGCGTACGGCAGATCCCCACCGCTGAATAGCTCAAACAGCAAAACGCCAAAGCTCCTGCCAAAACACAAGACACATGACACATGACACAGGTGTAAGGGTACAGCGATATTTGGTGCGCTTGAAAGACCAACGCGCGCCGCATACCAAGCGTCGCTTTTGGGTCCAAATCGTCGAGCCATCACGGCTTCAGGGGCCATCCACCTAAACGTATACTCGTTGAAGATGAGGCGTACAAAAAAATATTCTGTTGTTCTTTTTGTTCCCAATTCCACGGTGTGCAAACACAGACCGGAGCGGCAGTTCCTCATTGCGCAGGCTGCGATAGTAGTCTTGTGACATGTTCAAGACTCGTGCCACTGTGAAAGCAAAGCCCGCGAGCGACGGCAAGTGTGAGAAATGGCAGATAAAGACGAGATAAATAAAAAAAAAGCAGACGTCAACAATCGGCCTAAAAGGAGCAAGGCGCGCACAGCCAAAATCCGAGAGCTTGACATATAGCCGGGGTGTATCAGCAAACACCAGCACATTCTAAAGGAGTCGGACCCAATACATGCATGAGTGGCCACCACGACCAGGACCTGTCCCACAGGCCAGCCGCTGGGGCCACATGCTTATCGTGCTGACATACACGAGCGGCCAGATCACGATGAACAAGCCCTCGTCGCGATACGAAGACCATGGCCGAGGCCAGCTATGGAACACACGAGAAAAAAAAAACAAATGGCAACATGAGCCGCCAGCTTTTTATGAGGCGCAAACAGAAGACCGATGAGCAAGTGCAGTCTCTCGTTTTCAGCATACCTGCGCTGCAGCATCTGTCATGACGGCCCGGCCTAGATCCCCACGATTCTGGGTCAAATAGCGACGCAAGCTACCATGTGGAGCAAATTCAAATACCAAGGCCATCGAATTTTGATTGATACTAGAGTTAGGAGCCGCGAGAGGTGAGAGGGGTGATGGTGGGTAAAAAGCATGCTGATGGTCGGTTACGCGGCGAGACAGGCGGGGTGTCAGGGTTCTCGTGACAGAGACCGGGCAAGACCAACACTGTAGGTAAAATCCCAAAGAAAGTGGTGATGTGGGGATGTTCACCCACGCGCAACAAGGCACAAAGCTCAGCGAGCATTTCTTCGCGCCAGCGAGGCATATCCTATGGGGCATACCACGGCACCGGCACCAGCGCACCTGGCGAACATGAGTCATCGCCCTGGCCTTGCGCTTTCTTGGCTCCAACGATGGTATTGTCTTGCATACCAGGTCGTTGATGGTCTTGACGACAACGCTCGTCGTCACGCCACCCGGTCTTCTCCACTGAGCTTGTACCACGCGACCAAAGTGCCCGGCCCCAACCACTCCGCCAAGGGTGATGTCCTCCCTGCACACGACAACCAGTTCCCGAGGACGGTGCAAGCTGCATGTGAGGTCTGCCCAACCATGACCTACGCGTGACCTTGCAGCAACAAAATTTAATGTACAACAACGGATGTTGTCACAAGCCACATACGTGTTGATCAGACGGACGGCATTGTCATCAAGCTCCATGGAGAGCATAAGACTTTGCCAATCGGCCTTGAGATCTTGCCGTGAGCTGACAAATCGCTGCTGGCGGCGGCGCCATAACAAAGCTGCGCCAAGTGCCAACCCAAGCATGCAGAGGCTTACGACGACCGAGACGATGATGACCTGCGCCGAATCGGCCCTGTTGGTAGCCATTGCGGGCGCTTCATTGGTCAAAGGTTTCAAGCTCGTGGCGCCAGTGGTTGCTGCTTGTAAGTCCTCTCGTGAATCAAATACGGAGTCAGCCCACAACGCATCAAAATTTGCCAGGAAGGCCTCAGCCTCGGCCGTGGTTGGAGCCGGCTCAGAAGTTGATGCTTCGGCCGAAACGCCCAAGATTGAACCATTGAGGACACGAAGGATGCCGTACTGATCGGAAAAGTTGAGGCCAGCTCCACTGCCAGGCATGCGGAAGAAGACGCGTACAAACACAAAGGGGCGATTTCCAAAAGGCACGGCACTGATCAAGGCCGAGCAATATGGTGGTAATTTAAGGCATACAAGGGGCATGGCGTGGGAAGGGGATACGCATCAAGTCGAGTGGTGAGACCGGGCAACTGTTGTCGAGGAAGCGAGGTTGGGCGGGCAAATGCGTTTTCGTGAGGTGACGGTGGGCACGGACCGAAAGACTGAGGTGTATTGAATGCCTTCGACAGCGCCAGTGGCACGCACGACGCCAAAGCCATCGTGACACGAGTAATTTCGCCCTTGCGTTGGGTCATATGCGGTGTGCACGGAAGGGTCGATGCGAATGCGCACGGTGCCTCGCCGCAGTTGAACCTGAGAGAGGGAATAGCAAGGTAGATTGGCAAAGACAGGCGAAAGCAGGGCGGTATCCACCACGGCCTGACAGCTGGCTTCGTCACTGCCGTCAGGGCAGTCTTGCACGCCATCGCAAATTTGCGTGACACTGTGAGGTTGTCCACCCGGACAAACCTGGGGTGCGGCGTATGGACAGTGGGAAGCCCCTTGGTAGGGCGGGTCAACGCAGGTGCAGTTGAGCATGACATCGGTGAAGACGACCGCGTTCGACGCGGGAAAGGCGCAGCTGAATGCGCCAACGGTGGTCACGGTGATGGCAGACTCAGACAGCACACCAGAAGTCCATGCTTGCATGACGCCTTGCCAGTTGACGGCACGCATGAGGGAGAAGACACCCATGTAGCGTATGTTATCACCGCTGACATAGAGATAGAGATCGGTGATGCTTGACCAGCTAGGCAGCGCCACTTGGTCTAGATTGACCGGGGTATCTCGCAAGAAGATGGCGATTCGGGTCAAGGCACTTTCGCCCGAGGCGGTCAAGAAAGAGTTTTGCCAAAAGTTGGCAGGGAGGCTGTTAGAGCTGACCGGGCTGATCACAAACTCTCGGATGGTGGCAAACGCGCCTTGCGGTAGGCCGGCCGTCACGACAGTTTTTACAGGCCATGTCGTGCGCGTACCGAGCACCAGCGTGCCAACGAGCGGCGCTTGATAGAAGGCGGTTAGGTTTGGGAAGCGCTCGTGAATCAAGGTCATGTTGATTACATCCAGCCGTACGTCCAGCAACTTGAATTGTGTAAGTGTGGGTAGGTAGGGCAAGTTGTCCACGTTGTCCAGCTCGACTTCGCTGAAAGTGAGGTAAGACAGCTCGAGTTTGCTCAAAGCCGGTATTGAGGCCCGTAGAGCACTTGGCGTTGGGGTGCTGACTGACGTATCAAAGTTCAGAAAAAGGAACTTGGTTTGTACGGGAATACCCTCGGGCACGGGGCCAGTCAGGTCGTCGCAATCGAGTCGATAGCTCACAGAACAGTCACAGAGCGTGCAAATGACATCTGTACAGTCCTCGCCCACCCAAGCGCCATCAACACAGGTGTAGTTGTGCGTGACCGTGGCAGAGCATGGCAAGTGACACTCCCCCGTGCTGGGGTCAATGCGATCCGCCGTGCACCTGCTCACAAACCCTGGCACGGGGGTGTTAGCCGTACAGTCATTGTCCCCTGCTGCGCCAAAGGCCAGGCACAGCAGCAGTAGAGTCAACGCCCCAGCGACCAAATGGAATGAAGGCGCCATCCTCCGCCACCGCCCGCCCCTCACCACAAGACGACGACGACGATGATGACAGCACAACCACGAGCGAGTCGAATGTCAAAAAATGACAAAAACAAATGAAAAATTTTCACACACACACACACACACACACACACACACACACACACACACACACACTTGCACGCACCCACAATTGTTGGCTCTCCCTAAAGTATACGGAGTCTTTCGTATCATGCCCACCTGCTTGTTCTTCTGTGGCTCTGTGGCTCTGTGGCTCTGTGGCTCTGTGGCTCTGTGGCTCTGTGGCTCTGTGGCTCTGTGGCTCTGTTTCTTGAGAGCATCGTTGCTGTGCCTCTGTGTGGGGTCTGATGCCGAGAATAAGAGAAAAGAAGCCAGCTGGGCTGGCTGCAGGCAAACATGATGGTGTCAAACTTGCTGTCAACTATCAGACTTTTGCTTATGTCTTGTCGAATAGCAGCCTCTAAACTGCTCCATGGTGTCTAATGTGCTCCATTGCATTCCCTAAAGTTGATATCACATCGCGAGTTGATCGACCAGCTCAGGCCTGACTTAAACCAGGACCTGCAGTACAGGCGCGTTCGAGGTGGCAGGGCAACGTCGAGCTTTTATACTTGAGGTGCTCAACCACGTGCTCCAGGGTCGCCAGGGTGTCGGGCAGCGGTGCCTCATTGAGTGAAAACCCCTATCGCGCCCACACACCATCAAAATAGGCTTGTGAGCCGGACACACTAGCAGGGCTCTCTGAATCGCCCATGGTACCTTGGCACCTACCGTTGCATCTTGCTGAAGCAAATGGTGAGAAATATGCCCTCGATGGGCCAAGGTGATGACCCATTGTTGAACTCCCTTATCCCGCACCACAAACAAACCGTCCGTCGCGCCCTAACGCACAATCAAAGAGTACCCGACCGTTTCCCAAAGTGGTGAGTGCATCTTTGTTTTTGAACAGACGAAAACCTGCTGCTGGTAGCGCCAAGCCCGATCGAGCAAGCGAGGAAAATGAAACGGTAAGACGAGCACCACCAACCGCGCTGACAAGCATTTGCTCGGCATCGGCTCGCCCGAGCCCAAGGTGCAACCAGCTTGGATTCCCATGATTTGGCTCCTCCAGCGATTCATCTGGAACGTCGGACACATCCGTGTACTCGTACAACGCATCCTCGCCCTGTGTTCCCGCTCGTTCTAGATCAGCAAAATCACACAGTTACACGTCACGTCGTGCTTTGAACACCTTCACATGCCAACCGATGAGACGCGTCGTACCAGGCAACTCGTAGTCTTGGCCGGCATCCATGTGCATGGTTGCGCCGTACAGATGTGAGGAACGTCGCTGCTGACGACCAGGCAGCCGTGCTCGCGACACCACGGTAGACCCGGATGGTTTGGCCGACGCGTACAAGGCACCCGTCTTGGTCGTGTCACTAGTAATAAGCGGAGGCATATCATTGGCTTGATCCACGCCCGGCACCATGTATTCACCCATGGTTGTCGGGTCCTATTCTCGGCACCAAAGTCAGTGAGTGGAACTGTCGCTGCCCTGAAGATTCGCACTGAAACACAAGCTAGACCTGTGACCGCGTTGCACTGTGCTGCCACTCTAGAGTTTGCAAAGTTATAGCTTGAAATTTACCTCGGGAGCCGAATAATACACGCGCGGAGCTGTTGCAGTTGCTGTGGCCTCAACATCAGCATAGCTATACTCGGGCGGTTGCTCGGCCACCATGGGCTCAGCATAACTCCCAATGTTGTGAACAAAGGGCTCCAGGTACCCATTGTCGGGCGCGATGGTAACTGCTGAGAGCTGAGGTTCTACACACCCCAGGGAGAATTTGGTCAAAAAAGAAAAAAAAAAAAAAAACCCCCCAAACAGACATGCGACACAGGCTTACCACTCGAACGGGATGAGGCGCTCAGCTTGTACATGGGGTTGTCAATCAACATGCCCTTTCCTGACAAGCTTGAATCGCCATGCCGAGCACCCCAGTCGAGTCCTGGAGACGTGACAGGCTGTTGGGCCGGCTGCACGCGCTTGCGCTGAACCATGATGATGACCAAAGTAATTAACAACACACCGCACACCATGGCGGCCACCAGGCCGGCAATGAGTGCAACCTCCTGCTTTGACGTCCCACTGCTCTCGCCGCTGCCGCCGCCATTGCCAACGGGATTGGTGCCTGTGGCCATAAATGGCACCGTGCTCGAAGACCAAGGTTCCTTCCCACCGTTGCTGACTGTCCAGATGGCGCGCCGCAGGTCGGTGAGCAGCGTAGCTGTGTCAACATGGGCATCGGCAGCGGACACGTATGCGCCGTTGACAGTGTCATAAAGCGCAAAGCGCAGATCAAAAGTTCGCTCCACTTGGTTAACCTCCGAGCGACGGCGACGACCGTCGCCATCGTCGATCAAAGTGACGCTGACAGATCGCGGGGAGACGCCATCAGGCAGGCGGTCGACCAATAGCTGCTGCAAGAGCGCTTGCAATTCCACGGCGCTGATGCTCGCGTTGGTCGTCACCGTTAGGTCAATCCAATACGGAAGCGTCCCATTGGGTGCAAAGGATGAGGATGTCGTGGCATTATCGTGGGCCAGGTTCCAGTAAATGGCAATGACTTCAGCCTCTCGACAAGACGCTACAACGTCCAAGCTCCCGTCCTTGTCAAAGTCCATAAACCGCACCCCTTCAACGCCTTCGGCATTGGTATCCAAGAGAAATGGGGCGGTGAATCCGGCAGTGCCGCCCAGATTCAGAAACACCGCCACGGTGTTGGCGTTGTTGCTGGCGCTCACCACATCCAAATCGCCATCATCGTCTACATCCGCCAGGTCCAGGTCCATTACACCGTACACCAACTCCGCCAGCACTCGTGGATCTTCAAACTGGTGTGCAGCCCCTTGGCGATACCAGGTGATGCTGTTGTTGTCATAGTTGCCCGTTACCAAATCGGGAAGCCCGTCGCCATCGACGTCACCCACTCGAACGACGGCGGCAGCCCCCGTGTGCCCCTGGATCAAGTTCTCTGTGGTCACGCTGAAATTGGCGCTGTCAAAGAGGCTAAGCTGAATGCTGCTATCTAACACGTTGCAATGGACCAGTTGGATCCGAGTGTCTGAAAGCAGCTTGACTTCGACGGCTCCGAGAGGCCCAAGCCCGGTAGATGAGTGTGCGACGGCGCTGAGTGCTCCAGACTCCTGGCGCAAGTACCATGTCATGTTGCCACTCTGAAAGTCCGTCACGACCAGGTCTGTACGCCCGTCTTCGTTGAGATCTACCGGTGTCAGGCTGCTGGCCCCGGGAATGCCACTTTGGATGACCGTGGGCGCTCCAAACGTGGTTGCATTGAGGCGTGGATAGAGTGCCACGTTGCCCGTAACGAGAGAGGCTGAGACGACATCTGGCCAGGCATGATCTGTTCGGAACAGGGCACGAGCATCGAGCACGCCCGGGGCAGACTGGGAGACTGTGAGGGGACGTGTGACGGCGCGGCCGCCAAGATTCGCATACCACAAGATGCTGGCATCAAAGGCAGCAGCACTGAGAATATCAACAAGGCCGTCGGCATTCATATCCACCATCTCAACAGCACCGGCGCCACCCGATACATCATCTACATTGCTACGCTGAAAGCGCAATGCAGCACAGGGTGCACCGCACGGCGCTGCGGTGGGCCGATTCGTCGTAGTTGTACTCGTCGTTGTGGTTACAATAGGCTCAGTGGTCGGCAGACTGGAATCCGTGGTGCTTACCCCAAATGTGGTTGCGACCGACGATGAAGGCACGGTTGTGGCTGCAACACTCGTAGTAGGAGCGGCAGTTGTCAACGTCGTGGCTGATGGAGAAACAACAGAGGTTGAACTCAAAGTGGGTGAGGTGTGGCGTGCCGTGGTCGTGGTCGTGGTCGTGGTCGTGGCTACATGCTGCTCGCACATGGTTCCAACGTAATCTTCAGGGCAAGTACAGGTGTACCCTTGGGAGGCGAGCACACAGGTGGCCCCGTTCTGACAAGCGTGTTGGTCACAGTAAGAGTTGGCACAGGTTGTGCCAGTATAGCCCAGGTCACAAGTGCACTGATATCCACCCCACGTGTTGGTACAGGATCCATGGCCACTGCATGGCTCCGCAAGGGCTGTGCACTCATCGACATCGTTGTTGCAGGATTTGCCGGTAAAGGTGGGCGGACAGTTGTCGCAGCGATAGTCTTGGCCATGGCGGAGCGAGGTCCAAACAATGATGATGAGCAATGTGTCATGGGTGCATTGCAAAGTGTCGCGAGGCATATTTCGTACTTACCGGCGTAGTTGTTGATATTGACGCAGGAGGCACCATTGCTACACGTGCGCAGCGTGCATGGCTCGGCGACGCACCCAAGGAATTTATCGTGGTAATAGCCACTCAAGCACCCATACGTGTTTAAATCCCCTGCGCATCGGGGCACATGAGTTTCTCAAGACAAGCGCAAGATATGGCATAGCATACAGAGCAAAACAAAGGAGGGGAGGGGCATGAGTTCGCACAGCCTTCGTATTCCACTAGGATATCAAGAGTATCACTGCAGGCTCGGTCATCCCAGCTGCCGTCTGGATCCCAAGCCACACAGTCCGCTGCGAGTACGACCAGCGTTTTGCAAAGGCATTCAAAGAATGGTTTGTGTATGAGGTGGAGGGGAGTCGCCAAAGAACGGAAGAGGCTGATGCTTTTGCAGTTCAGGGGCCAGACACGTACAGCGCCACCAGGATACGGAAAAGGGCTCGCAGAAAAGGTCATTGAGACAAGTGACTTGACCGTTCCAACGGTTACCAGAGCCAAATTGCATGCCTTTTTCTGGCCCCTCTACCCAAGTGTAGGTGCCAGCGCTGCTAGCATCGGACCCGCCGAGCCAAAGGGGCGCTACGCATGGTTGCATGGTGCAAGGTGAGGCTGTCATCCAGCACCCTTTAAACAGGCCCAAATCGCACATCACACAAGCGTGCGAGCAAAGAACCAATCAACAAAAACTTGCAAGTAATGGCAAGGTTGGCAGCAATAAAGTTGTATTCTTCCGCGGTTCTGCGAAATCGCAAGGTGAGGGCAGGCAGGTGCGTGAGCGACCGTGGCTTTGAGGGTTGGGGTGGGCAGGCCGCGAATGACAAACGTAATTGTCGCGAGATGGCCGCGGAAAAAGGTTTCGGGGCCTTCTGAAATCATGAGCTGCTCTGCATATCCGTCTGAAGTCCAGAAACTGCTATCAATCTGTCATCCAGGTTCACAATTCATTCAGATCAATTCGGCCCTGCCTGGCGCCGCACGAGTTGGCGGAGATGTTTCCGACACAATACCTTGATGATGTCATAGGAATGGCCGTTTCTCGGCCAAAAGACAATCCCGGCGGCATGGCCTAGAAAGTACAGGGACATGGAGGGCAAAGGCAAGGGGAAGGAGAAGGAGGCGGAGGAGGCGGCGGAGGAGAAGGAGGAAGAGGAGGAGGAGGAGGAGGAGCGGCGTGAGCCAACGCTCGAGAGGGAAAAATGGAGGGGCCATTCATGAGGAAAACGCTATTTTCATACCACAAAGCCACAAGGCAGCCAAGAGCACCCGCCAGGACCTGGACCTGAACCCCAGGCCCGGTGCTGAGCAACGCGACATGAACGTTGCCTGAGGTTTGGCCCTGCACTGGTCTTGGTCGATCCGCCAGCGCAACCAGACTTGAGCTCGCTTTTCACAACTCGGCGAAGGAACAGGATGGCGAAAGGGGGGGCGCAGTAAAGCAGAAAAGAATGCAGTCAAGAGGAAGAAGAAGGACGAGGAGGAGGAGAAGGAGGAGGAGGAGGAGGAGGAGGAGGAGGAGGAAGGAGGAGGAAGGTGCAGCAGCACAAGCACAGGTCGGTGTCAGGAGAAACAAACAAATGGGCCAGTCGGGTTTTCTTCGTCTCTCTGTTTGATCATGGGCTTCGGACCAAGTCTCTGGCGCAATAGTTGTTTTCGCTTATCTTTGCCGCTCTTCCGTCTCTGTTGCAGTCTCTATCTCTGGCGCCGGCTCTGGTTTGGCCGCTTGTCTCTGCAACGTTGTGGTGGATGTCACGCACATTTGGAGGTTGCGCGTGCGGCGCGTGCCACGATCATGCCCAATGTCAGATTATACAACTGCATTATGTGTGTTTTACTAACCATTAACTGCGTTGTATTTATAGTGTACTCTCCATTGTATTTCCAGACCGACTGCAATAACTTGATGAAAAACAACAAAAACCTCTACTGCCCTTGGCGCTGCTTTGGCTGCGCTTTGAGCCAGCTGAGCCAGCTGGCTCACTTGGCGGGGGCGCGACCAAAGTCGAGGCGCCGAGTCACCGTTGTCGTTGCATCAAGAAGTTGACCGCGTGGAATCGGGTCTGATGTCCCGAGAAACCAATACGCCAAACCCCCCGTGGCGTACACCATGGCGACCAAGGCGAAAACGGCCTGCCACGTCCCAAAGGCTGCATTGATGTAGGCCGCCACCGGCACGCCCACAACCCCAGAGAGCGCCGCAAGACTGTTACTGATGCCCTGCAATAGTCCCACAAACTCGGTGGGCGCCACGTCCAACTTGGCTGCCTCGTGACCTACCACCCAAGCTGGGGTCAGAGACAAGCCGCGTCCACTGGCCCAGACACGATGTCAGCCGCGGGTCAATTTGCATACCGTTGGTTGAGAGGCCGGACATGCCAATGGAAAAGGAGAGCAGGGCCGTGGTCAAACCGCCCTGGGGTAGAAGCAGTACCAGCAGCATGGCCCCGGCTGCCAAGCCATAGCTAATGGCCTCACAGAGGCGTCGAACCCCTGAGTTTTGCAACCATGCGCGATCCGGTGAGCCGACGCCAATGTCGATGTCGACGCCGACGGTTCAAACTCGGGCCAACACAGTCACAAGAGCAGTCCCGTCGGCGTCGGTCGATGGTCCCGCGATACGTACGTGACTTGTCCACGCCGGCTCGGACGAAGTGATCAGCGACAAAGGCCCCTCCCATGCTCGTGCTCATCATGATGATGTAAGGTGCCATGAGCTGCGAGGCATGGGAACGATGCCCCGTCGGGCCGGCCGACACCTAGAACAGGGATAGCAAGGTGGGCATGATAAATGAGCGCTGGGCTCGGCCACGGGTTCACGTCATTGACGTTTTTTTTTTTTTTTTGTTTCTGGTCCAAAAACACACCCCGGCGTCGAGCTCGTCGTAGTAGGTGGGAAGCCAGGACAAAGCCAAAAAATGACAAAAGGCGTGGGCAAAGTGCCCAACAAAGATGGCACGGCAGTTTGGATGCAAAAACAAGCGCCAGGCGATCCGGGCCTGCAAGCGCCAATCCTCGCCGGCCACTGTAGCACCAGGCGTCCCAGCACGGGTCACTGGTGGCGATCCTGGGCTTTGGCGAACCACCAACAGCCATACGACCAGCCAAACCAAACCCCAGCTACCAAAGAGATGAAAGATAAAAGGCCAAGGCCGCGATGCCAGCAAATGCTCACTGAATGCCAGTGTAAAGACGGTGCCTGCCAGGCGCCAGGGTCAGGAGCACGGGATATGTGAGCGCTGCTGCAGGCACGTCACACGCTCTGCATAGCATGTGGGGCGTGGTGTGTGGCATGGGGTAGCTGACACTGATGTTGCGCTGCAAGACAAACCGAAGAAGGTGGCCGTGGTTTGTAGGCTGATGTTGCGCGAGCGCAGCTCGGGATGGGAGGCACTGAGAATGTCATAGACACATGGAAAACACATGCCCTCAAAGACGCCCAAGATGACGCGGACGCCGTAAATGACCGTCTCGCCCTCTTCTGCTGCCGTGGGTGTCCAGATGGTCAGAACAGACCATCCCAACGCCGCCACGGCCAAGACGCGGCGGGCTCCAAATCGAAGGGCCAGCATTGACCTGTACACCATCAGACGTCAGAGGACTCACCTGACTGGCTCGGCACAAACCCTATCCAACACCACTGACCCAAGAAGCTGGCTCGTCAGGTACCCGATGAAGAAGGCGCCCATGATATGCCCCACTTGGATCTGGTGTGCACAGCAACTTGATTTTAGCTCGGACGACTGCAGCAACTGTCATTGCCATGCCTGGCCCAAACAAGCAGCAATGGCTCTTCAATAGCAATGCAATGTACCTTGGACCAGCCAAAATCATCCTTCATGGCAAGCACGGCCACGGAAATGTTGACACCTAGACACCGCGCCGAAATGAGCCGAAATGAGCCACACGCTGCGAGTGAGTCGGCACGCCGGCACAGGGCGGCTCGGCGGCAACTTACGATCGCAGTAGTTGATAAACATGATCACGGCACACAACCAGACGATATGGCGGGGAACCCCAGGCCCAGACCCAGCCATGCTCTTGGCCCCAGCCCCCAACCCCGCCCCCATACCTGCCATTTCTACAGCCACCGTCATCCTCGCCGTACCGCCCCCTCCCCTCGCCTGCTCGCGTCCGCAAATGTGTGTGTGTGTGTGTGTGTGTGTGTGTGTGTGTGTGTGTGTGTGTGTGTGTGTGTGTGTGTGTGTGTGTGTGTGTGTGTGTTCTCTCTTTCTCTCTTTTATTACATGTGGTAGTTGTGCTATTCCTCTGTGTTGTTCTCAAACCAATTCACTCCCTTTCTCTCTCTCGTGTGTGTCTTTGCTCTCTCCCCTTTTTCTCTCTCTCTCTCTCTCTCTCTCTCTCTTGTATTACTTGGGGTAGTTGTGCTGGTCTTGTGTCTCTCATGATCGCTGACGGTTTCCTTGGATTTTTGGGGCGAGAGAATGTCGTGGCGTGGCCGAGCATGGCGTCATCTTCCGACCGAGTGAGCTTGCACGATGGGTCTGCTGTGCCTGTGTATCCCAAGGCTTCTTCACTTGCGCCGACAGGCACCTGTTTGCCAAGATGGAGCCAGCTCTTTTGAGAATCAGAACACAGAATCATCTTTGATAACCTTCATTAACCTCTTGCCTCCCCACCGCTCCATAACAGCCACGCGATCGCCGAGGACGCATGAACGCGCTGTGAGGCGGAAGAAGTGTCAGAGCACGCTTTTACTCGCTCAGGCGCAAGACTGCAGCAACATGATATTTACCAAGCGTGTCGGTATAAGGCCACAAGTCATAACGGCCGGTTCCGTCACTTCTAGGCAAACCTTGGAGCCGAGGCGAGCTGGAGCAGCTATGGCCACATGATTAAAAACCAGCGTGCACGAGTCGCAGATATTATGAGAACTTGCGAGCCAAACTCCACGATTGATGGTGCCCGATGCAAGGCATCCCATGTGTGGCAGGCATTCATGGGTGTTGCAGCCGTCTGATATGCTGAGCTAAAACTTGAACAAGAGCTTTTGTGGACAACAGCAATGCCTGTTAGGGCTTGCAAGTGGTGGTGGGCAGTTCGTGTGTTGTGTCAGATTGCCCGCCACGAACAACAAGGGAGAATCCGCGGTTATCGTGACAGAGTCGTTCACAAACTTTAGACTTTTAAACCTCGGATGCACATCACGCTGACGGAAGACTTCCAGCTCACACCAGAGTAGGCATGCCTTGATGGCAGGCCGGTCTAGACACTCATCTTGCGCCACACCGAGATCTTCCAGCAAGGTATCAAACCACTGAAGCAGTCCATGGGGAGGTGCGGCGTAATGAGGGTACCAACGCTTGGAAAAGACAGTTCGAGGTAGTGAGCACCACCTCGGCTCCTGACGCGGAAAAGCATCAACCCTCATTGCAAAGACGGTTGTGGCAATCGCGTCTTGGCACCAGCCGATTGCGTTGGCGACGAGGGCAAGTAGGGCCGGGAATACCATGATGGTGAAGCGCACGCAGGCTGTAACCAGCGTCTGGCATAAACACTGGGACGCTGCCAAACAAGGAATCATTTTGAGATTCAAACCCTTACTCGCTGCTTTTTGACCCATCAAACTTCCACGAAGCGATACAAGCCACGTTCGTCTCGGAAGCTGTTGCTCTCACTGACCTCCCCCAAGCTCCCCTGGCGGCGCCTCTCCTTCAACCAGGCGACATGGACCCATCATTGAAGGATCAGCCATTGAAGGAAATTCTGAAGGACCCGGCCTATGCTCGCTTCAAGCCCCTGGAGAAAATCATCGGGGACCTGAATGTGCGTGACTGGGCCAGTCAGACCCTGCCCTCCTTGCTGGACTGCACCCCTGACGATCTCAAGATGCACGTTTCGGCTTTTTACCGCGTGCTGGAGCGTGAAGGCAAGTTTTTGGATGCACTGCAAGGTGACACACGAATGCTTGACCTGAGCATGGGTATGGTGACCAGCGTCGGCTTTGGCCTTCAGAACTCCTTGAAGCACGTTCTTGAGAACTTGCGCTTGGATGCGCTCGATGGCATCAGTGTAATCAACCTGAGCTACAATAATCTGCTCGACCAAGATGGCGGCTTGCTTTTGAGGCTCGCGGACAGGATGGCAGAACGCAAGCCGCCGCAGCCAAAGGTGGAGTTTCGGCTAACTGGCAATCGCTTCACGCCAAACTTTTTGGTTGAGACTGCCTTGCCCCTTTGCCAGATGGACCACATTTCGTACGTCGTTGTGCCGGATCTGGGGAGGAGTGACGCGACTGCTGCCTTGGCTCACATGCATGATAAAAGCGCGCTCGTTTTCAACAAGCTCATCTTCATTCGAGAAATGCACTTGCCTGGCGGGCATTGGCAAGAGATCTTGCCCCCCGGTGTTGTCCCTCATGTGGTTCGAGAGACACACGACAAATACTACTTGCAGGCACGAGCGTGAGCAGATCGCACCTTTCATTTTCTCGCTTTCTCGCTGGTGCCATTTTTTGTTGTTGTCGTGAAATGGATGGATGGTTTAGAGTGTGCGATGATTGATCTGGGCCTGACGCCGTCTGGCTACAAGGGTCACTTGTTGATCCGCTCCACAATCAAACTCTCAAACCGACACCAGCCATGACCTTTTTCGACGCGCTGCTTCTTCCGTGCTACGTCGCAAAACATTGGCAATTGTGAGGCTGCGGGTCAGCCACCACCTTCATTTGCTGCGCACCATTTGCCCAACAGCCCAAGCTGCTGTTCTCCGACCCATCATGGCGCACGCTTGTGATTAACAAGAAAAATTAATGCATGAATGCGTGCCTCAGTACAAGGCTGCTCGGCCTGCGCCAGCGCACAGCACGAGGCTGGTGCCACGGTACTCCTCGTGGTTCTGCCTGCGTCACAGGTTGTGAAGAGGTCGACCAATTCATTCTCTCCCCACACTCTTTTTGCTGGTGGTGTGCGAGTCCATCTGGGTGATCAACTACCAGAGACACGGTAGAATAGGACGCGCGCGACATGGCACAAATGCATCATCATGTAATCAATTTGAAGCATGAAGAAGCCCAAGAATGAGAGCAGGTGCCCTCTGCAAGGACAACACTATAATGTTCACGCGATGGTGTAGAGAGTGCTAAAAAAAAAAAGGAGAAGAGGACCCAAGGGTATCGTCCGCGATCCAGACTCAAAGAGGGTCGCGCGCATAACATGTGACAACAATGGACGATGCCACTCAGACATAATATTATGTATATAAAAAAATCAAGGAACCAAGAAAAACAGCATGGAAGAAAGGAAGAGGAAGGGAAAGTAAAATCACGAGAGGATAATAACATGGGCGTCGACGTGAATGGTGCAATGCGCATGAAAACAAATGGCAATCGCTCTTGACATGGAAAGGAGAGCTCGGCTCTAACAAAACGGGGGAAGAAGTAAAAAACGTTGACCATCAAGACGCAGCCGTCAAATCTGCTTGAATCAGCATTAAAAGTTGAGGCGCGAGGCGCTGCTGGCACGACGCATGGAGCTGGAATGGGGGATATTCAACTTGGACGAAGCAAACAGCGTTGGAGTAAAGCTGCGGGCTTGCGTCAAATCAGCAGAAGCACTGGGGCGCCGGCGGCGATCAAGAGCACTCTGCGACGAGGGCTCATCTATCGTCACCGCTTCCATTCGAAGGCTACCACGTAGGGAACCATTGGGCGTGGCCAGCTCCAAGCGCGACATGCGGCGCTGTGGTAAAGCCATACTGCCGCGACGAGCAGAACCTGGTGGCTGCGCCATACTGCCACGGCGAACAGAGCCTGGTGGTTGCAGTGAGGAGTCGCGCGAAGCTGAGCCAGGTCGAGAATTCGGTTGGGTCTGTAGGACTGGGGTGTGACGTCCCAAGAGCATGCTGCCTCGTCGACGGTTTGGACGCCGGCGCGCAAATGCCAGTGACACTGATTGGCGACGGCGAGACCGGCGCGAACGAGATGGACAGTCATCGTCGTTATCGTCGTCGTCGTCGTCATCGTCATCATCACCATTATCATCGCGATGGTAGTGGCCATCATGGTCGTCTCCCGAATCGTCGGAATCCCGGAGGTCATCAAGGTCTGAATCAGATGCGACTTCGAGATGAAGGCGGTGGCGTGAATGGCTATGTCTGAGCTCGTCCGAGTCGTGTCGACTCTGTTGGCGACTACCCTGACTAGATGCGGCGTTGGACAAAGAGTCAGCATCTTCGCTGTGGCTGCTGAGACTGAATCCACGCTGGTCCTGCTTGGAAAAGGACAGGATGCCCAACGTTTCAGACGTGCTGATGATCATGCGATCCGCGTTGCCAAAGGCAAAGTCGTTGATGGCAAAGCAATTGGCATTGCCTCGGAAGATACGAACGCAATGCCCTGTTCGAGCCACCCATACACGCATCTTGCCGTCGGTACATGAGGTGATGACCCGACCATCGGCTAGGCGACACGCAGTGACAGCCTGAAGATGCCGCAGCGTTTTCATGGGCCCAAGAACACGCGAGTGTTTGGCCCAAATGTGGCAAGCGCCATCCTCACCCGCGCTAATGGCAAGGTACTCTGTCAAATGGACATCGCGCACCATGCCATCGTGTGCTTGAACGGTGAAGACCTCCTGCACGGCAACCGGATCGATCAGATGGCTCTTAAAGGGTGCTCGACCAGCGTGAGCAGCAGCATTGCTAGCACCACCCATATGTGGCCGAACAGCGACGTGGCTGTCTTGACGCTTAGCGAGACCCTCCCCTGGGGCCGCGCTGCCGTGGCTCGGTCTTGCGCCAGATCGAATGAGCTGCAGGAGCGTGAGGGTACCATCTTCGCAGGCAAACAACACGTGGTCACACATGATACGACAAGTGGTGATGGGTGCAGAGGTGTGGCGCGTGTGCAACGCCGCACCGGTGCGGAGGGACCAGATGATAAGGCAGCGGTCACGACCGCCCGAGGCAACCAGGAGCGCCTCCTCACAGATGCTGACGGTGACGACGGTGGACTTGTGCCCACGAAAGACGGTGATGCAGCTGCGATCCGCCATGGACCACACACGAACGGAGGTGTCGTAAGAGCCGGAAACGACAATGTTGAGGGAATCGCTCATGGCAATACCACGAATGGAGCCGGCGTGTCCGCTGATGGTTTGCACGACCCGACCCGTGGAGGCGTTGTAGACACGAATGAGCTTGTCAGCGGATCCGGTGACAAAGTGCTCGCCTCCGCGAAAATCCAAGACGCGGGCAATGTTTTTGGAAATGTCGCTGACGAGGAGGACGGAGTAGAGGCCGCAGAAGATGTCAGTCTCAAATTGCGTAATGGTCAGCGAGCCATGTTCCGTGGGCACCTCGAGCTGGACAAGGTTTGTGTTTTGAGCGCGGGCGTGGTTCTTGCGTAGATCCAAGATTAGGTCGTCGGCATCACGGCGATGAGTTTGATCTTCCATGACCTGCACGGCGATATCGCGCCAAGCAACTGAGACCTTGGCAGCCACTTGGAGGTCACGAAAGGTGAAAAAACCCATGAGATACTTGGAAAGTGGTGGAGGTAGCAGCTTGATGATGTCGCATTTGGCGGTACCCTCGTCGGGCCCGCTCTCACGGAGGCGCTCTTCGGCATAATTGACGAGCGGTCGGAGGAGGTCCACGCCAGCAAACCGGTGGAGACGTTGAAAGGCGGCCAGGCGACACCAATGGGTGGTCATGGCAAACCAGGCGAGGGCGCTGCGCATTTCATAGCTCTCATCCTGAGCGGCCAGGCCGGGCAGAAACGTGCGGGGCACGCCAACTTGGAGACCGGTTTCACCCATGCGGCGATTGACGGTGGCGGCTAGCGCGGCATGGGAGCGACGGCGGCCCTTTGCAGGTAGGCTCGCTGAGTTGTTACTGGTGGCGAAGCTTGAAGAAACAGAACCATAAGGGGGCGATGTGGGGTGCAGGGAAGCACTGACGGAGCGCGAAGCCACGGGCCCACTCGTGCCGCTTTGATTGGGGGATGGGCGGCGACGGCGAGCGCTGGAGGGTGGGGTGGCGCGACGTAGCTGAGACTGTGAACTCGCGGTTGGTGGAGAACTCTGGGGAGTGCTTGGGTTGGCGGAGCGAACGCGGGCTGTTCGGGCGCTGCGGGCTGATCGGGCACTGCGGCGAATGGCGGTGAGACTTGAAGATGAGTTGGGAAGGGATTTGTGACCCCCGGGCTGCACAAGGCGGGACCGCTGGGTCAAACGGGTATTGTCAGCTTCGTGGAGGCTGGAGAGCAAGACTTCGGCTTTGGCGCCATCGGTGACACCCTTGGTATTATGAAGGGCGTAAAGCGTGTCTCGATGCTTCAGAGGTTGCAAGAGGTTGACAATATACTGAAGAAAAGGCACGGGAGCGGCGTCGATGAGGCGAAAGAGGAAGCGGCGCTGGTGGGTTCCGGGAAGCTGGCCAAACCAGACTTCATTGTTCAGCATGTGACGTTGCACCTCGCAGCTCTGGCAACGAGAGCAGATGATGGGCAAGCCGGTCACGTCGCAGCGAAACTCAAAGTCGTTGTGATGCCGCGGCGGGGATTGACCCGAGGCCGTGCCCGGCTGCCGAGGGCCACCCAGTGTGTGCCGCATGATCGTCGACGTCATGTCGGACAGACGATGCTTGCGGCGGTGGTCGCCCCAGAGGCAAGGGCAGGGAAGAGTGCCGTGGCCAAAGATTGATGCTTGAGCTGGCACATGGATGGAGCGCCGAAGAAAAAGTCGAGGGTAAAAGGGAAGGGCAGGGCAGAAAGAACGAAGAGGCGGAGGCGCCCAAGCAAGCTGTGCTTGCTAGGCGAGGGCCACCTGCGCGCTATCGGCAGGCGGAAGGAGAGGGAAGGCGCCCGTCCAAAGGAAAGACCAGCAGAGTAGAAAAGGCGAAAGGAGCAAGGGACGTGAGGCAAGAAGAGCAGCGCTGTGAGGCAATGGCGAAAGTCGTCGCTCAGCTGACTGGCTCGGGTGAACGAGAGAGAGAGAGAGAGGGGGGGGGGGACGTCGAGACCACTCATACCTCGTTCGTTCGTGTTCCCAAGTTCTTCAAGGTAGAAGGGGGTCGTGATGGTTGGGCCAGAAGCTGGCCAACAAAGAGCAAGATCAACGACCAAAGCAAAAGGCCTGGTCGCCACTGCCGAGTAAATTACTTGGGGAGGGGAGAAGGCTGCTTCCCTAGACTCGATCATCAGCGCGCACCAACACACCCGCGAGGCACAAAAAAAGTACGTCACATGAGTTGAACGTCGTTACCGACCAAACACACCGATAACAAACTCTCTCGCAAACTCTCTCTCTCTCACACAAACTCTCTCAAACTCTCTCTCTCTGTTTGTCTCTTTGTCTATTTGTCCTCTCTTTCTCCGTCTTCAATGAAAGTGCATCCAAGGTATGACAAACAGCAAGGTTGGGGACGGGGGGGTTGGGAGCCAGGCAATGTGCGATATATGCGATGTGCGATGTGTGCGATGCGCGACGTTGAAGAGAACAAGAACAAGAGGATGAACAAGGCAGAGAGATTGGGGATGTGCATCAAGACCAAGACGCAGACGGCCTTGTGGAGTGACCATGAAAAGGATTCTTGAGTCAGTGTGTGGTCGCGAGAGGTTGGGGATGTGCCAGTCACACGAGACAGGGCAAGACACAGCGCAGAGAGGAGGTGGAAGGGTGGGAGTTTAATTGTGTTGACCAAGCGGGGGCATCAACTGTGCTTTTGTCTCCCAAGTTCGCGCTGCCAGTTGGCATGAGGAACAGATCTTACCGTGCAGGACAGCCAAGAGAAAAAAAAAATGAGCAGCGGAACTCAATTGCATGAGAAACCTCTGGCTACGGCTGCGACAGAGAGGGGGTTTGGACCGAGGTCACACTCAGAGAGAATGGTATAATCTTGTTCAGAAAACAGGAAAAAGTCAAAGGCAAAGCAGAGATGTGGGAATTCATGAACAGGCGCCCAGAGATGTGTCATGAGGAGCCGAACAGTGGCACTGCAATGGACACAGCCGTTTGGTCCCTTTGGACAAAACGTGGGCGTGGGCATTGCAGCTATTTGTGAACCCATGAAAGTGTGACGTCAGGACCCACAAACCCATGGTTTCTTTTGTTTGATATTGAGGGATGTTCACGCTTTTCCTGTCCGGTTGGTGTGTGTTGCGTTGCACCTGGTGTTTTGTGGCGTTGGGTCCACGCCGTGCGATCTTATGGATCGGGACGAGTCGCTCTGCAATCAAACATGGTGTAAGTCTAGGGAACCGTTGTGGCAGTGCGCCGACGCAGAAGTGGTCAGACAGGAAAGAAGGGGGGGGGTGTCTGAAAAGAAAGAAGACCTCCATGTTAGTACATGTAGTTTTCATTCCCAGCAGCGGCGCCGGCGCTTGGGATCAAGATCTAAGTGAAGTGTTTGTCATTCATCGCCATCCACGCGACATTACATTTGCATGATGGTAGCAGCCTTGGTTGGGCGCTGTCACTGCCCCAAGCACGTGTGAATGTGACCCGAGGGTCGCGTGTGTTGGTGATAGGAGGACAATGTGTCCTTGGTGTCCTCGGTTCGTCGGGAAACATGGCGCTGCTTGACCGGAACGCGCCCGGCACGGTCAGCGGACATAACCGGATGGAATGGAGTAGAAAAATCAGCCACAGCGTGGCCAGACCAGCTACAACAAGACATCCGATGCTGCCAGAGTCGACGACCACGGCAAAATTGGCTGTCTTGCAGTCGATCAGAATGACTTTGGGGGGATGGCACAAAAGGGCGCGGCGCGTGGGCGCCTGTACCAAGTTAATGTCCCCACTTGGGCCCTGGTGGTCTCTGGAGCATACTGTACCAACACCCGGCCAACGGTGGACTCAAAGTAGGTGACCCAGCCGATCTTTTTTTTTTTTTTGACGGTCCAAAGCCCGACGCGCGACTGAAGAGATCAACCACGTCGGTCGCCTTTCACCCCCCCCTATCTCGTGGCCCATTCCTAATCCCATCTTCATGCGCAAGCAAGGCCTGGAGCTCCGGGTTCAGTGGGGTCAATCCTGCCTATATCACGATGTCGTCTGTCTCTCCGATTTTGTCTCCCGCTTGTTCCTCCCCCCCCGCTATTCTCTTTCTCTTCTCTCCCTTACCTTCTGGCGCTCGCGCGGCCCCTCACCTGTGTGTTTTTTCCTCAGTACCGACCCATCTTTTTGTCAAAAAACACCTGCATCCTACACACGCTACCAGCAAGTTTAACTGAATCAACATTCCGAGGGTGTGTTTACTTTAGTATTGTCAGATAATGTGTGTGAATGACAGTTGGTTGGCCTCGCCTTGGCAACCAGTTTTTCACTCCTTCACCGCTACTGCTGCTGCTGCTGCTGCTGAGACCTGCTCTGCCCCCCCTTGCTGTCTACTCCCTGGCTCTCTGCTCGCTTGCTTGCTGTGCTTCCCTGCCGCGAATCGTTCCTGGGTTGATAGCTGAACGGTACATAGCCGACACAATGGCGCATCGCAGTGAAAAGCTCAAGCTGCTCGAGGAGCTGACCGAGTCAACGCACTGTACGTGTGTGAGCGCGTGATTTCGCTCTACAGCGCCCCCTCCGTCCCTGCCAGTGCCCACTCACCTGCTCGGACCACATGCATGCATCCCGGCGACGTCTACAGTCTCATTGGACGAAATCAATGCACTCCATCGCATGTTCAAGTCACTCACGGACACCGAAACGGTGAGATCACCCAGACTCAAGCCCCGCTGCGCCCCGCCCTGTCTCCCTTGCTCACTGCCGGCGCTGACCCTCTGGCTCAGATGGCCAAGCCAGTTTTTCGCGAGCTGCTGCACGACTACTTTAGCTTTACTGACGATCAGATGATGGACAAGAGTATGCGTCCCGCCATCCCCACAATGCCGCCGAGCCTTTGACCATGGAACCCACGACGCTCACATGTCGTGCTCCTCGCATTGACCAGTTTTCAAGGCCTTTGCCAAGACGGAAAATGTTCTGTCCTTCGAGACGTTTGTCACCGGCCTGTCCACCTTTTTGCGCGGCACGGTGGAGGAACAAGTCGAGCGTATGTCGTTTTTTTTTTCTCTATCCTTCGCCCAAACCTGCATTGCGTTGCCCGCTCAGAGATGCAAAGGGTTTCCCCTCTCAGCCACACGCCCCCACCGCCTCTTCCGGCTCTAGTTGTGTTCAACATCTATACTCGAGGCTCCATGGAAGCCATCAACCGCGATGATATGTGCCTTCTTTTGAAGAAGAGTATCGTCAAGGTATTGCCCACAACACCCCGATATTACTCATGTTGCTCGTTGGCTGGCCTTTACCCTCATTCACAACCTGCCAAATCACACAGCCGGCGAGTGAGGAGGAGCGCGACGAAGGCATCCGCGATCTTGTGGACATGCTTCTTCGCAAAATGGTCAGTCAATCTGCCTTTGATGGGCCGTGCGTCTTAAATTCGCTTGGTCATGACGCATGACGCTCAACCCTGCCCCTGTCTGCCCTCACCCAGGATAAGGATGGTGATCATCTGCTTTCCCTCGAGGATTATAAAAAGTCTGTTGCGGAAGACAAGCTTCTTCTCGAAGCCCTGGGCCCATGCCTGCCCAACGGCAAGGTCTGCCCTCCTGTTTTCTTCCACTCATGGGGTCTGCCACTCTCCATGGCCGCAGCTTGCCTCAACTCAGCTCTGGCTCAACTGACATTGGTTCAAATAGGATGTCAAGGAGTTTTTGGCTGCAGCAGAAGTCTTGCCTCGCATCTGAGTCTCACCAACCCCCACCCAACTGGAGCGGCATTCGTTCGCCTGCCTGTTGCTTGGCCTGCAAGCCACGTCAGAATCTAGAAATAACAAGGGTATTGTAGAATGGGTCCGGGGCCCCTGGATCTGGCGTGTCACCTGCATGGCGCTGGCAGTGGTCCCATGAAGAACATGAGCACCACAAACAACAGTTTTCAATCTAGTGTTTCCCTTTTTTTTTTTTTCTTTTTCCATCTCTGCCCCTCTTGTTTTCTGACGCCGTGTTGAAAAGCCTTGGAACCCACTGCTTTTTTCCGTGGACCACCAACATTTGTAATTTTTTTTTTCTTTGATCCTTGGTTGATGTTTGGCAACAAGATCTTTCGTGGGCAGGCCAACATTGCGGTTATGACGGCGAAAACAACCATATTGGGGCCCGAGATGTGGTGTGAGGCGGACGTGTTGCCGAGACGGGGTCAATCATATCATGCTTGGTTTGAAGCAGTCACTCTGACGGATGGAGACCACCACCAGCAAGGAGCCGCACAGCGGCTTTGAAAGGCTGAAACAAGTGGCATGGGCCTGTCAACGCCCATCCACGTCAAAACTACAAGAGTGGCTACTTTTTGTTGTCCTGTTGCAGCTTGCTCAGCATGGCTGACACGGCATAGTTGAGCTTTGGTTGACCTCTACTCGTGTGGACCAAAGAGAAAAGGGGGGTTGGGGGCGTTGGCCCAAGATGAGAATGCAAGTCTGTACAGTCTGGGATGGCGACAATTTTCAGACAGAACAAAACACCGCGGTCAAAGTGTGTTTGTCGCACGCACTTGCTGTTGGTGGCCGAGCGACGAAAATATTCTGCGCGGCGCTGTTCCTGGCGCTTGGCTTGCAACTGACGCTTCTCATCCCTGGTCATGCCAGGGTCACCAGACCCGGGATCCACGCGCGACGTGGGACGCGTCTATGTTTGTGTATCATGTGGTGGTTCGGTTAGACGTACCGCAGCCAAGTTTTGACGAAAACGAACAACCTGTGAAAGTTTGGGGCAGAACCATGGCGGTGAATTACCTTTGTCTGGTCTTGATCTGGCTCCAGCCCTCGGGCCCGCTCGTCCTGCTGGGCGGCTGCCTCGGCAGCCAAAGCTTTCTCTAGGGCGCTCTGGTTATCATTACCCTCCTTGGCCATCTTGCCTTTGAGTCTTTTGAGCTTGTAATTGAGGCCCACCTGTTGTTGCTGCTGGGCTTGCTCTACCCAGACAAGGGCAGGCAGCCAAGCAGGCCCGACGTTAAGCAAGAGCAGGAAGAAGCAAGCGTGCAGTTTTCCTGATGAGTTGACGGCAAAACGTACTAATAGCTGACACGGTGTGAGCCGGCTGAGCCCTTGACCGGCCTCGCGCACCACGACCAGCGCCACGACCAGCGCCACGACCAGCGCCTCGACCAGCGCTTCTACCAGCGCCTCTACCAGCGCCACGCGCGCGACCCCGTGTCCCGCCACCGCGTGCACGACCACCACTGCCACCCCGACCACCGATCCGAGCCATTGTCTATTCGTCCACCCAGCGTCGGCATGAGCACCATCACCACACACACACACACACACACACACACACACACACACACACACACACACACACACACACACACACACACACACACACACACACACACACACACACACACACACACACACACACACACACACTGCGCCACCGCCACCGCCACCGCCACCGCCACACAGCGCTACCGACAGCGAGAAGGGAGAGAGAAGGGAGAGAGAGAAATACGAGAGAGCAGCAAGAGAGAGAGAGAGAGAGAGATCAACTCGTGGGTGGCAGGCAGCAGGAATTATCTGACATTCAAGAAACCAAGAGCAACTCACTGTTTTCGCCTTTTTCCACAAAACGCTTTTCTCTCTCTGTGCGCGCATGTGTGTTATTTTTTATTTTTTTTTTTCAAAGGTACGACGGTGGCGGCGGGTTTGTGGCAGTGGCAGCGGCAGTGGCAGTGATGTTGGTAGAGACGGGTAGTGGAAGGGGTGGTGGAGGGTGGGGTTTGGGCAGCGTGAGGGCGGGAATAGAGGGGACCTTTGAATTCGGCGCCTTCTCCTTCGTCTCATCAGGATGGTGTGTGTGTTTCTCGCATCTGAAAGGCAGCAGCTTTCTAGGCAGGGGGTAGTTCAATGGATCACCGTCGTTGTCAGTGAGAGGCAGTGGGTCCGCAACGGCAGGCGGATCGCCGCAGCAGTGGTTCGGAACGTCAAACGCCCTTCTCGAGCCTGGACAAGATGGGCGCCCGCGTTCGGCTTCAAGTATGTTCCTGTAGCTCCCGGCGCCCCAGCCTCGATTCCGTGGTTGGTCTTGACTCACCGGCGCGTCCCCTGCTCTGCAGCACCAGGATGTCGCCCTTTCCCTGGACTTACAGCGCCGGTTTGTCAAGGTACTACCGCCTTTGGCCACGAACATGCCTGCACATGCCCACACGGCCGTTTTCCTTTCTCACGCCTCCTTGTTTGTCGCCCCCTCCGACCTCTCGGCCCGTCCTTTCTTGAATGCTACGCATCATGCAGGGCTCGACCACGCTGACTTTGGTCGGATCTGACACCACAGCGCCCTCCAACCTATCCATCATCGATGGCTCCCGCCTCTTCTTGAACGTGGGCCCAACCGTGCGCATCGCTCGGGTCCTCGTCAACAACGAGCCCGCCAAGTACACAACCGAATTCCCTCTGGTCCGCCTGTTTCCCGAATCAAGGTCAGTGACGGGCATGTTCTTGAAACTCTACATCAGGAACCCGCCATCATTTTCACCACTATCACCACTACCACTTCCAAGCACATCTTCACTCAATCCGACGCCCCTTCCGCCCCCCGCCCTCCCACTAGCGACCGAGTGCCCGCTGCACAAATTCAGAGCGCTTATGGTGCTCGTGCAAAACAAGCCCAGGCTGGCGAACTCTGCATCACCCTGCCCAAAGCCCCCAGCCCAGGTACCATGCCCATCCCAACGCCCCATCTTGCACACCTAGCCAGTCGTGGCCCCGGCATCGCTCTCTCTCTCCCCTGCCATCGCCCCATCACGCATGGACCTTCACTTCCGGACCTCACCTGCCCAGCTGAAACCATCACTGTGACCGTACTCTTTGGTTTGACCGACGACAATCCGGCCTTGACCTTTGCCTCCAACGGAGCCACTGACAACCCTGCTCACTCCGTTTACACCTCGGGCCAGGCCAAGGTGTGGCGTTCCCTCCTTCACCTTCATCGCTGAACGGACCGCCGTTGCTCATTCACCCGCGCTCACCCCTCCGCTACCCGCTTCCCTCCTCTTCCTCCTTCCTCCTCACCTGCTGCTCTTTGCCATTCCAGGACTGGCTACCTTGTTTGCTGCGCCCTGATGCGCGCTGCAGCTGGCGCTTCGCCCTGTCTGTGCCCAACACGACCAACCTCCGAGCCATCACGCTGGGCGAGCTGCAAACGGAGAGCCAGCTCTTGTCCAAAACCGACCCCACCCGTGCCGTCTTTGAGTACTACATGAGCGATAAAGGTGACGGTGGCGCCTCGGCATGGTCCATTGGCTTTTACGTCGGGTTCGTGGCTGCCCCGCCCTGCCCTTTGCCTTTCGTCGCTTTCTTTTTTTCCTCGCGCTCCCTCTATCCATTACACAATTCTCAAATCCCCTCACTTCACATCTTTGCATCATGGCCCTCGCATTGGCCATGTTGCGCCCCATCCCACCCTTGTAGAGTCCTGACTAGCTTGGAGCTCGAAAGCGGCATGGCCTGGAGCCACCCAGATCTTACCAATCTCCTTCCGTCCACATGCCGTTGCATGGACCGAGTGAGTTTTTTTTTTTTTCCCCACATTGTTTTTACTCTGAAGCTCCAGGCACCCACCATCAACCCACTCTGCTCATGCACACGCATCATTGTCGACCTCGGATCCTTCAGATTGCCGATCTCGCTTCAACGGGCCAAACTATTGCCATCCCCATACCGCATGAGCATTACAACATTGTATTTGCTGATCAAGTGCCCCTCAACATGCTCTCCTATTCCTGTCTCACCATCATCAGGTATCGTCAAGATTCAGTTTTGGCACGGCAAATCCACTTTGTACACCACCCTTTTCGTACCTCGGTGCTCATCACCCGGTCTCATGCACGCTCCTTCCGCCTCAGCAATGAGCTTCTTTACTCGGACGGCATCATCGATGCTGCCTTTGTCACCCCCTTGCAGCTAGCTGAAGCCTACGCTCGCCAACTCTACAATCACTATCTCGCCCCCGCCGGCAGGTGAGTCGCTTTCGCCAGCCAGCTCCACGCACTTGAAAATCTGCGCTCATTTCCCCGCCACACACACCTTCTACAACGACATAGCGACCACATGTGGCTCTCCGAGGGATTGGTCCACCACTTTGTGGCCAAATTCCGCGCTCAATTCTATGGCATTAATGAAGCCACTTATGACTTGCACAAGGTCTGAATCAGCTGTTTTCGACCGCCGATGGTTTGACAATGCAATGCCCAGCGATAAAAGGGTGCCTCACCACTTGCCCGTGTTTGCTCTTTTTCTGCACTTGGCTGTTGCAGACGCTGCAACGGGTCTGCGAGTTTGATGACAGTTACCCTGCCCTCATGTCAGACGAGTACCACCTCTTCTTCAGTACGTGTCATTCCAGTGGTCACAGTGTACACACATGCTCCAAGGATCCATCACAATCACAGGCACAAGTATTCTCTGGCTCACTGTCTCTCATTAACGCACAGGCCGTTACGACGACTTTTTGCGCCTCAAGTCACGCCTTGTCATGAACTTTATCGAGAGCGAGCTTGGCATGGAAAACTTGGCCGAGGTGTGTGACTCCCCCCTTTTCCATTCGTGCCCTTCCAGACATACACTGTGCTCCGTTGTGATTTGGATTGAGCATGACATTCGCCACGTTAAACCGAAATGGGCCCTGGACTATTGACAGTTTATCCAAACGCAACTCTCGGCCGCCGATGAAGCGGACACCTTTAACGTGAACAACCACTTGCTGGTCGCCAAGGAGGTACAGCCCCGCAGCAAGCATCGTGCGTTTTGTGCGACTGTCCCTCGACGTCTCCTGATGAGCCTACCCCGAACACCCTCCTCTGTTTCAGTTTTTTGCGACGGCATACTCCTCGTATAATCGCGAGTTGACAAGAGTGACGGCCCGCCTACTGGAAGCCAAGCGGCTTCCACGGCTCAAAGTCAACTATGAGTGGATTCAGCCGAGCAAAATTCGCATCACTGTCGAACAAGAACCGCCCTTCCTCGAGGTATACCCACCACGCTGCCACGTTTTGGGCGCCGGGCAGCTTTGATTCAACAACCAGTACTAATATGATTGCATCTCCCGCCTCCCCGTCCGGGCGCCTTCTAGATGCCTCTTCACATCGGCGTACAATCGGTTGAGTGTTACGAAGTGCATAAAATCAACATGAGTGGACCCAAACATGAAGCCATCTTCAATGTCATCGGCACGCACCGCTCGTAGGTGTTCCGCACCCAACCCGTTACCGTTGTAGCTTTACACTTTGGTTGTCCCTGCCAGCGTCAGGCCGAGTGCACAAAAACACCCCTCACATGCCCATGCGTCGTGTCGAACAGGGCTCGCCGCAAAAAGATCAAGCTGCGAACCAACGACGAAGTCGATGTGCTGCTCGACCATCGCAGGTTTGTCCCCCCTTCAAATTGGCCTCTTCCCTTGTGCGCACGGTGCACTGTTCGCCAGAGTCTTAGCCATCTCACCTGGCATGGGCGTCAATAGCACCAAGAGCACTATCATGTGGGTGCAGGCAGATGTCAACATGAAATGGATGGCCCGCGTTGAGATGAAGCAGGAATGGTGGGCCTGGGGCTATGCTGCCGAGCATGAGCGCCATGTTGGCTGGCAGGTGGATGTACGTTAAAGTTTGCAGTTGCACGAGTGGGGTTGAGCCGAACTTGGGGCTGAAAACGACATTGCTAGGACTCCTCACATCATGCTGGTCTCTCTCAACCGGGAACTTGATAGGCTATTCATGCGCTGCGGCAATTCAAGGACAAAGATGCCATCAAATTGCTGGATGAGATTGCTGCCAACGAACGCTACTATCACCGGGCTCGCCGCCAAGCCATCCTTTCACTGGCCCAGATGAGTGATGCGCCCGTCAAGGAGCGCTTTCAGTACCTTGTCAAGTATCTGCGGAAGTACGTGAGAGTGCAGTAGCATAACATAGTCCCAACCGGCTACTCTCATGAACGCAAATGATCCGTGGATGCATCTGCTCGACTAAAGGCGTTATTGTGCGCCGCCGTCAATGGAGCTTATTCGGGCCGGCAAGACGGAGATTCCAGTCATTCCCATGGAAAATGACTTTAAAGACATCCGCAACTACCTCGTCCTTCGGGTATGGCGCGTTGCACAAAGCTCCCGGAAGTGTTTGCTTATTGGCAAATCAGGCCTGTGAATGACACCTATTGATTTATACAATTTTGACTCCACCAGGACCTGGCGGTCGCGCTTGGGCAGCTCGTTGAGACGCCAAACAAGACTTGCGAAGACGCCCTGCAAGTATTGATTGATATGTTGCAATACTCCGACAACTCGGACAACATGGTACGCTTCCACGATTTCGTGTGCTTGCACACGCACACGCAGAAGGGATGAGTGGCAGACCTCGAGCCTTGCGATTCGAGCAAAACTTATTTTTCTGATGTTCTGCTTGCCAGTTTGACGACGGCGAGTACCGTGCCGAAATCATCAACGCCATGGTCAACGTTTTATTACGGTCCTGGTACGTAGCACGCGCGCACTCACACACACACACACACACACACACACACACACACACACACACACACACATATCATGTTTGATTTTGGTCTAAACGACTTCCGGATGTTGCACGCAGGCGTATGCCCAGCGGCAGTCGTATCATGACCGAGGAGGTGAGTGTTTGTTGTCTTCAAATCGAGGCTGGTTGCTTTCCGGTAGAGCTCACGACCACGCTCGGCGGCCCATTAGCAATTGTGCGAGAAAACCGAGACGGTGATTCAGTTACTCGTGCACCAGCTGAGCTATGACACCGTCGATCCGTCTTACAACCAGCCTGTTACTGCGCGGTTGGTATTCATCTTTGTACCGAACCTGCAATGTGCAAGTCGACCTTCTGCAATGCTGAGTTGACTAATTGCGAGCTTCATCTTCAGGTGTTTGAAATGCCTCAAGCTACTGATGTTGTCCGGTCTGTTGCAAAGTGATGACTCCATTTTTGAAGCATATCTCAAGTACGCGGTTTGCGCCTTGCGCCAGCTAGCTCTTTCCCGCTTGGGACTGCTGTGCTCGCCCACCGTGGCTGTGAGGCTTCTGTCATATTCACCGATTGGCGCTGGTTCGGTGACAGACACCCCAATCCGCTCAACGTGCGCTTGGAAGCAGCCAAGTCATCCTTTTGGCCCCTGCCTTCAGAAAAGCTCGACGCATTCATGGACTTTTGTCTTTCAACGGATCGGGCGCTGCGGTATGCAACATTGCAAAAGCGCGCTGCATGGCAAGCGTGGAATGGGCGCTACCATTTGCCCTCGGCTTTATAAAGTGGCTACCGCAATTGCGTGTTTGCGTGCTTGCCGTGATGATGCTGTTTTGCGCTCTTTGTAGGCTCGAGTTACTTGTCTGGCTGCAAGAGCGTGTGCCAAAGCTGAAGACGGATACGTTGTTGCCCCTGCTCAAGCTCTTGTGGCGCCACCAACAAGAGTTGCCCTGTGTAGATGAGCATTGGCGCCTTGCCTTGCTGCGTGTGTACACTGCTGTCGACGAACGTACGTCCAGAGTAGTCGCTCTTGTTGCATAGTCGTTAGGCGCAGACAGGTGCATGAATATGCAAGCTTGCGCTCACTTGTGGCGACTCGCGATAACGCAGGTGCTCAACAGGAAGTTCCAAACAAAGCGATTATTGGGCAAGCTCGCTCGTCCGAAGGCCTGCCGCCCACCAAAGTGAGTCTGCTCTGGCGTGCTGCGTCCCGCGCTGCAAAAGTAAAAACCGTGTACCTGACCAGCTCCTACCTGCCTGTAGCTGGCCAAAACGCACATGCGCATGAACACGACCAAGCCACCCTTGCCTCCAAAGCCGAGCACCCTCAATATTCGCCCTTTGTCCAAGGATGGTGCCGGTCCGTCGGGCAGAACGGGCATGCCGGAAAAGGCCCCCGAGACCCCGACTCTTCTGCGCAATGCTAAAAAAGCCAAGCAGCAACTTCGCGAGTCGACCATCTCGTCCGCTTCCATGTACGTACTCACAGAAACTCCATTGCGCCCAGAGTATGAGTCTGTCATCATATGTGCTTGCCATTGCTGCGCGTTTCTGAAGGATGCCATCGTTGGGAAGCAGCCTCAAGCAAGACGCACACGCAGCCCCGCGAGCCAAGAGCACCGTGGCTGGCGGGAGCAGCAGCGTGAGCGGTAGTGCCTCCGCCGTCTCCAAGTTCCTCGACGCGCCGCAGGTGGGAAACTGGAGGCCTCTCTGCATGCCAGTCAAAGCACTATGATCCGGTCTAACAAATCGCCTCATCGACTTGTGGTTTCCGGATTGGATGCATTTGCAGGCTAAACCAAGCGAGCGCAAGGATGCACCGCCTCGGCTGACCATGAAGCTGAACGTGCCGGGCAGTGCTCGACAACCTTCAGAAACGGTTCCCAAGACCGCTGCAGCCAGCCCGGCCACGAGTCGACCCACACCTCCCACGGTATGCTTATGCTGCCTTATGGATCCACACGCGCGGCTCGGTCGTATTGGTCGTTGCTGGAACTCAGCTTCACTGCCTTCGAATCAATGGGTGGGCACGGCAGGCGCCAGCTTATGCTGACGATGACAGCGATGAGGGCGATGCGCCGTTTTGAGTTGGACCGCTTGCCATCCCACCACACTGTCGTTTGATTTGAAGCGGTTTGTGTTGCGTTGACAGCAGGGACAGGAGTCCCGTGTGGTATGATGCACCTGTACCACATGATGATGATGATGATGATGCAGATGTTGAGTGTTCGTTTGCCAAGAACTGTCGCGCTGTGCGTGCATTCTTGGGCGATTTTGAGTAGCAAGGTCTCCACGATTTACATGCGACCTATCAAAATGGATGGAGAATGGTTTGTTTGCTCCTTGCTTTTGTACCTATTTTTTCGTTTCATTCTAAATTGAAATGAGTTGCTTGCCACGGAGAAAGAACAAAACAGAGACGCTTAGCGTCAGAAACATCGAGCCAATTGACTTTTATGGACTGACGTCGGCAGCACACCGAAATCCGACGTTGGCAGCACTCGAGTCCGGGGTGAGGGGCATGCGAGCCGAATTGCGATATCGATAGCATGTGAAGATGTTGCACATGAACGACCCGCCTTTCTTGACCTTCTTGTCACCCGCGGGCGGACCGCGAGGATCAACGACAAAGTCTGGGCTATGCACTCGGGTGTGCCAATCATTGGTCCATTCCCACACGTTCCCCACGGTATTGTACAGGCCAAACTTGTTGGGTTTGTAGCTGTCGACAGGAGCGGTCAGCTGGAACCCATCCTCGGCCGTGTTCTTGGCACTACTCAAAGAGGCACCCGAAAAAGAAAACGAAGAAAAAATGCCAGACGTATCGTGAAAACCAGAATCGAGACGCATAGCTTAAGTTGATGACATGTCAGCAAAGGCGGGGTACAAAACGCTTGGGAGAGGAGCCAAACGCGTGAAGATACCTGTAATAGGCATGACCATCGTGGATGGGCAGAAAGCTGTGCTTGAAAACATTGGCGTCTGTAGGAATTTTCATTTCAGACTGCCAAGTGTTCATCCGAAACTCACCCTTGGGTTGCATTTTGTTGCCCCAAGGAAAAAGACGGTGCTGCAGGGGCACACATGAGTCGGGGTGCAGTGTGAGCGCGAATGCGGCATTGTGCAGCAAGAGCGGTGGAACAGCAAGGAAACCAAGGCCAAACCTCAAGGCCACCGCGCGCGGCAAACTCCCATTCGGCTTCAGTGGGTAGGCGCCCACGTGGATGAGACCAGCGGCAAAAGGCCTGGGTGCACAGTTTGTTGCTTAACAGTCGTGCGTGGAACAGAATAGCGGAATGCAGGCGGGGCGGATCACAGGCGTACATTCGCGTCATTCCAGGAGATGTGCACGGCAGGATGATCGGCACGTCCCGAAATATTAGTATCTGGTCCCTCGGGGTGCGCCCAATCAGCACCATCCACGGGCAACCACCAAGGGGCGGCAGCCTATGAAGGGTCCTCCCGGCACAATGGGCACAGGATCAGAGGGTCGAGAGCAGAAGGAGATACAAATAAATGGATGAAGAACAGGAGGAGTCAGTGGGCGCTGAGCCATGCATGGTCGTGTGTGAACGCAAAACCAAAGGCCGTACCACCGCCGAAGATATTTGCGCAGATATACGGGGGGAAATGAACTGCTCGACGACAAAACTGTTGCCAAATCGCTCAGCTTCGGTGCGATATCCAGTGGCAGCGACAAAGGCAGCAAATCGAGCATTGCTGACTTCGTGGGCCCCAATCAAAAAGGGTGACACTTGCACCTAAAGGATGCAGGGCTAATCATGAGGGCGGTGGGCAACGACTTGAGAGCGCTCTTCAGGGTCGGCTCAGAAACTCCGAATGCTCGGTACGGACCTTGCGCGCTGGGCCTTCACCGTCATCGGGAAAAAAGCCATCATCACTGCCCATGGTAAACACACCACCGGATAAGTGTAAAAGCGCAGCTTGCTCCTCCGATTCTCCATGGCCATTGGCCTGAGCAGCGTATTTGTCCACTGCATGGAGCAGCATCCGTGGGCCATGAGCCTTTTTGGTGCATGAGACCAACCAGAACAGCTCGAATCAACCTACCGTCATGCGCCGACTCGGCTTGAGCGGAGAGATCGTCTGAATTTGGATCACCAGAAGGCTCACGGTTAAGAGCGCCACAGCCACAGGAACCTCCGCCCTCTTCAGCAGCTCCAAAGGCGGGATCGGCACCGCAGCCCGTCGCCCCGTCGTCTGGCGTGAGCTCCGTCGGAGCCGGATCCACCATCGCCTCCACAAGACATGACGCCAACAGCAACCCGACCAGTGCCCACCCCACAACTTTAAAACACCTCAGCCCACCCATATCCTCTCGATCACATGGCCGCACTCGCGCGGAGCAACGCGCTCTGACGGCTGCCATCGCGCTGCCGTTTGCCAGTTCACTGCGTCCAAGTCCGTGAAAATGAAAGGTTATCGCCACTGTGTTCGCCAATCCCGCGACGAGTTGTCTCTCACTGTTTTCATTAAACTCCGAGGGTTACTTGTTACTTTCGTTTGGACGTTGTTGTTGTTGTTGCAAAATTTTGAGGAAAAAAAACTCAAAAAAAAAAAAAAAAAAATGGCAGAGCGGCAACGGAAAGAGGCCGTGGCATCGGCGGTGCGCGCTGCGCAGCGACCGCGTACCACCAGCGCAGCTGTGGGTGCTCGAGGTTTGTGGCGTTGCATCTGAGTGTGGATGTTGCGTGCCGGTTCCTCACCCCGTTGTTGTTGCTCCGGGGGAATCGGCGGACATGATGCAGGCTCGCGTCGGCCAGCGTCTGCTAGCACCAAGACCAACACGGCCCGTCCTCGCACGGAGGGGGCGGCACACACTGACGAGCCGATGGATAATTTGGCCCACCGCGAGGCCGACTACATGCGCATGAATGCAGAGCTGGAACGCCGCACGGCCGACATTGTGTACCGTGCCGAACAGGTCCGTGCGAGTATGGCGCAGGCACGCTGCTCGAGCTAGTGCCCCTGGTGTCGTTTGATCTCTTGTGGTACTGTGCACGGGAAACGCAGGCCATGAAAGCGAGCTTCTGGGCTGATGAGCCAGATGCGGATCTGGATGACGATCGCACCTCGCCAAAGGGCCCTGCGTCCCGGCGCGGTCAGCGCAGCGCCAGCGCGCGCAGCCACGGTCACAGTCGCCGCAACAACGTCCCTGACAACCGCGACGATGCCTCGGCATGGGACCAACCAGACGACAATGAGGTCGAGGAGGCGGGCACGGACGGCGAACTCGATGCATCCCTTCGCAGTACGGGCAGCCTTTCCCTTGAGGATGTTCGCAACCGACTCCTCGCCCGAAGCATCCCGGATAGCAGTGGCGGCCGCTCACGGCCGCAGACAGCCGACACGACTGCTCGGCCTGGATCGCAATCGGGCCGCGGTGGCACTGCCGGATCAAGGCCTCGCACCACGGCTGGCACGACCACTGCCACCACTCGCCAATCTAGTGCGCCCGCCAAGCCACCGCGGTCGCGCACCGGCTCGCGTCGCGGCCGTGCTGTAGCCGCCGCCTTGGAAAAGTATGATGCTCAGCTACTCTGAAAAAAGCAGCCGAGGCGTGAGGGAAGCGCAGAACCCTAGATGACTGTTCTTAGCGCACTCTGATGCCACCTGCGTGTGCTGGCTACTTGTAGAGAGGAGGTGTTTGAAGTTGGCAACGACCCCGTGCTACAGGCAGTCGTGGGCGGTGACTTGTCTGATGATGCGGCGCTGCGCGTTCTCAAAGCCAAGGTGGGCATGCTGCAGCAGGAGCTCGAGGCTACGGCACAGCAGCTTCAGGAGGAGCGCGACAAGTACAAAAGCCTTAAGCAACGGTTGGTTGTGTTGGTTCACCCCGTCACCTAGCTGATCTCATTGAACGCGGCGTGCGGCTCGTCTCACTGCTATGGTGGCGCAACGTGACTCAATTTTGCAGGCAAACAGAAACGGCCAAGACACTGGGGGAGACAGAAAAAAGCCTGCAGAACGCTCAACAGCAGCTGGCCAAACAACAGCGTAGGTCCCCGCCCCCCCCCCCGCCTCACGGCAACTTGCTTCGTGCCCGTCACAACCAATCTTGACCGCCGTCCCTTACCCCGGCCGGTTCACAGGCTCGTCCGATACCACTCGCGATCAGCTGACACGCGAACAAGAAAAGGTGTCTAGCCTGACGCGAGAGCTCGACCAGCTGCGCCAACAATACCGCGAAGTGCGTTTCGTGTCTTAAACTAGGGTGCTTCTGTGCTTTGTGATGAACTGGTGCTGCACACTCGCATGCTGTTTGAGATGGGATATCTGACAAGTGGGTCTTGCTGTAGGACACCAAGGGGGCCAAGAGCTTGCAAGCCCGGCTGCAGCGCGTAGAAGAGGAGCGCGATCGGCTGAAATCCGCACAGGGTGGCCCTGGCGGCGACCACGACCGTGGAGATACAGCTTCGCAGCAACAGCTGCTTGACATCCAAGCAGAGAACAAGCAGTTGAAAAAACAGGTGCGGTTTGCTCTCTTTGCTTTCTTGAATTTGTGCAGAGCCTCACCTTGTTTCTATCAGGTGACCGAGTTGGTGGCGGGCTTTAAGAAACAGATGAAGCTGATTGACATTCTCAAGCGTCAGAAGATCCACATTGAAGCCGCCAAGCTGCTCGCCTTTACCGAAGAAGAGTTTAGCCGGGCGTTGGATTGGCAGGCTTAGAAGGCAGCAAGGTGCGGGCTCTGTTCTGCGCGGCCTGCGAGGTACCAGCCAGCTCCCATCGACTTGAAGCTGAGCAAACTGTGCACTGGCTTCAAAAACCTGCCTCTCGCCTGATTTTCTCGACTTGAATGGATACATGATCGGGCTACGTTGTTTTTCTGTTTTTTTCCAACGTGTCATAACATACCTATCAGCGTTCATGAGGAATCATGGGAATGGGTTTTGTCAAAGTGGATCGTCAATTTGTGTAAAGTACCAGAATTGGCACAAAAGAACGAGCCCCGACGGCTAGGAGACACGGTCGGGGGCAAGAGGAAAAGAGGGGAAGAATGAAGCCACTCGGGTTGAACCACATCATCTACTCTGACCGAAAAGCACAGAGGCAACTACTTGTTGCATTTAGATCAAGAGCTTCTCGATGCTGAGCTTGATGGCCTCAATCTGGCTCTTGAGCTGAGAAGAGTCATTGACGGTGACGGAGGCGGAGATGACGGGGCGGGTCACGCCGCAGGCGCGGCCGAGGGCCTGCTTGGAGGGCACAAAGACATAGGGGACGTTCTTGTCCTCACAGAGGAGCGGAAGGTGCAGCAGGATCTCAAGGGGCTCGGTGTCGGCAGCCATGATGATAAACTCGCTGATACCACGGTTCAGGGTCTTGGTGGCCTCGTTGGCGCCCTTCTTGAGCTGCTTGTAGTGGCTGGCCTGCTGGACCAGATCCAGAATCTGCTTGGTCAAGGCCGAGTCGGCCAGGGGGTAAGCCTTGGGGTTGACCTCAGACTGCAAAGATTCACATACGAGCATTCCATGGCAATGAGATGTATAGACGCGTGGGAACAAGGGGACGTGTTCAAGGCCAAAAGGCAGGCGCTTTAATGCTTGGGCGAGCATTGACACGCACCATGATTCCGTTTCAAGAAGATGAGTGGAGAAAGAGAGATGGGTAGACGATGCCTTGCTGTCAGCCTTCACGACGGCAAATCGCACATGCGGCACTACAAGAAAAGACATGCGTCGACCGGGGGTGGGGATGAGTTGACGATGGTCTCTCATCCCCACGTGTACGGGCGCACGGGGGGTGAACGGGAGAAATGAAGGGCTGCGGCAACTCACCTCAAAGACAGCGAGAAAAGGAGCTTTGAAAAGCCAAAAAAAATGTCTTCAAAGACGTCTATGAAAGTGGATAAAACCGTTTGCATGAGCAAAGACACATGAGACGAGAGCCGACGGTAGCACTGCCAGCGAGCAGGGCGCACAGGGTTTTCAGCCTGGTCTTGACGATACAAACACGCAACCAGAACAATTCACCGCCCCTCCACCCCTGGAGGTTCTTCTCAACGCGATACCCAAAACATCCCACGCCCACCATCTCACCCTCACTGCCACGCCCATGACCCCTATAGCCCGCCCCGTCCCCCCGTCCCCCGCTGCCATCGACGCGCGTCTGCATTTTTTTTTTTTTTTCGGCGCACACACACACACACACACACACACACACACACACACACACACACATGCGGTTGGTGCTTACAGTCGAAAAATACAATGACCCCCAAGAAAACCCAGTGACTGACTGACGTGGATCGAGTGTGTCTATATGGCAGCCAGGTGAGAGCCACCGCAGAGCAAGCCGATAAGTAAAATCCTCGAGGCAGGCTGGCATCCTGGCCCCTGCTAGACGCTTCAACACCTCGTAATTCCCTACCCGGCAGCTCTCCGCCAAAACTGTCTCTTGGCCTTACCCTTTCACTCTCTGACTTTATCTTTTCTCTCTTTTCTCTCTTTTCTCTCTCTCTCTCTCTCTCTCTCTCTCTCTTCTCTCTCTCTCTCTCTCTCTCTCTCTCTCTCTCTCTCTCTCTCTCTCTCTTTTGAGTCTCTGTGTCTCTTCATCTCTTCTCTCTCTCTCTCCTCTCACACTCTCTGACAACAGCCAGCACTTTGTCAGTCAGTCACTGAACACTGTGTGTGTTTCTCTCTCTCTCTTCTCTCTCTCTCTTCCGTCTCTCTCTGTGTTCTTTATCGCAACGCTTGTTGGCGCTTGGTTGAGGACAACGGCAGCCGGACGTGCGTGCGACGACGTGACGTGGCGGGTGTATTCACTGACGCCACTACCTGTGCTTGAGGTGAGCTTGCTGTTTTTGGACCTTGGCTTGGCCTCTTCCTTTAGTTGTGCGAGTGTATCATCAGCGTGAGAAGGAAAAAGCCTCCTGGTCTTGTTGCGGGCACTGGATTGTGGCGACACCCACCGGCTTTGCCTGCTCGTTGCCTGGTCCCCACTGCACCCGTCCCCGTGCTTGCTCTCCCTCTCTCCCTCCCTCCCTCTCTGTGGTCCCGTCTTCTTCTTCTTCTTTTTGCTTTCTGCATTTGACACGTTACCGCCGCTGCCGCTCGCCAAGATTCATCCTGCTCTCTCTTTCTGCGGAACAAAAATCAGTGTGTTTCAGTTTGCCGTTCGCCATGGATACCTCGACGGACCCCGTTCCCCCGACGCAGAACGGTCAAGACAAGGACAAGGAAGAGTCCAAGACCACGGAAGAAACCATTGATGGCGTTCCTGAAGTCAAGGACGAGGACTTGGTATGCCCATCTGCCCGTTTGGACCCCCACGCACTGGTCTGCCCATTTGCCACCTCACTGATGTGTGTTATTTTTTTTTTTTTTTCACTTGCTTGCGTTGTTCAGTCGGACGACGACCGTCAGCTGAAGCAGGACCTTGAGCTTTTGGTGGACCGTCTTGAGGTGGGCCTTGCTGCCACATCGCTTTATATTGCTACCTCCACGCCGTTTGGTGGCCGGTCTTCTCTGACTGCCACTGTCAACAGGATGCCGATACAAGCCTGCACCGGCCTGCGCTGGAGGCCTTGCGTACCCACATCCGGTCTTCCACAAGCTCCATGACCTCGGTGCCCAAGCCTCTCAAGTTCTTGCGCCCCCACTTTGCCCGTATCAAAGCCATTCACGCCAACATCTCCGACCCGGAGAACAAGGTGCGCCCCCTCGTCGCTTGCTGGATGCCGCCGCGTGGCTTGGGACAGACTGGTGCTATTTGCTCACTGCAGCTACCTGAACACCCCAAATTGAATTCTGATGCTTATTCGCGTAGAAATTTGCGGCCGACGTGGCCTCTCTGATGGCCATGACATTTGACGACGACAGCCGCGAGTGCCTGCAGTACCGTTTCCTCGGCTCCAACGAAGCCCTCGCATCATGGGGCCACGAATACGTCAAGTACGGACCCCACTGTTTGAGCGGCGCCCATGTGCAAGCAGCTGGCTTGAACCCAACTAACCCTCCCTCTCTTTCTCCCCCTCACCCACACTTGCTCAGGCACCTGCAGGCGGAGGTCTCTGCCGAGTACAAGGTTCGCGTTACCGCCGAACCTCCCGCAGCCGTCGACGATCTGATCGTCCTCGTGGAGGAGATTGTGCCATACTTTTTGCAACACAACGGCGAACCCGATGCCTGTGACTTGCTCATGGAGGTTTGTTTGCAACAAGCTCGCTTCCTGCGTCCATGTACAGCATGCTCGAGTGGGACCAGCCATCCACACCTAGTCTTCTCCTTGCCTCGCGGCTCGCCGCTCGTTTTTCCTCATGCCGTCTCGTGGCTCTCAGGTGGATCGCCTGGACCTGCTCGAACGATTCGTGGACGAGAATGGTCACCAACGTGTTTGCCTGTACCTCCTGAGCTGCGTGCCCTACGTTGCAGGTCCGTTCTCTCTCTCAGTGTTTGAGGCCCCGTGACCATGTCTTTGTTTCCGCCATCATCTCCTCCCCATGGTCTGCTCTCACCCGTCACATTGGTATCCGCGGTGGTTGTTGTTGTTGTTGTTGTTGTTATTATCGCTACTACCACTGCCGCCATTGCCACTATCTATAGAGCCCGAGGATCAAGTGCTGATGGAGACGGCTCTCAAGGTCTACCTCAAATACAAGCAGTGGCCCCAGGCCATGCAGATGGCCCTCAAGCTCAATGTCACGGAAACGATCCGGGGCGTATTCAAGCAGTGCGACTCAAAGTATGCAGATAACAACATGCGCCTGTGAACCCACGCAGACTGATGCCCTGCCACGCACTCACTCGCCTCGGTCCATGCCTCTTATCAACCCGTGGCAGGTTGATGCGACGACAGCTGGCCTTTATGCTTGGTCGGCAACAATACTACTTTGACGTGGAGGAAGAGCTTGACGGCATCGAGGATGATGACGACGAGCTTGAAAAGCTGCGCGATCTCATGGCCAATGTGGGTATTTCTGGGCATGACCGCATGCGCGCCCATCTGGAGACGAAGCAGCAAGAGCCAACTCGCTGTGCTTCGATTAGGCTTGAGTGTGCTCACGAGTTGCTGTTGGTTTGCTGCTCCATCTTTCCAATAGACCTTTTTGAACGAAAGCTTCCTGGCGCTCGGCCGTGAACTGGACATTATCGAGGCGAAATCGCCCGATGACGTCTACAAGACCACTGCTGATGGAGGTATGTGCGCTTCCAGGCCTTTGCACTGTCCTTTTATGCTTTTCTCGGCCACCGCCCCGTCTGATCATGTGCCTCTCGCCTTTTTTTTTTTTTTTTTTTTTTCCTTTCCTGCGTGCCTTGACCTTTGGGTCACCCAGCGGCCGGTGTGGCCAACTCGGCCCGCGCCAACCTTGCCTCCACCTACGTCAACGGCTTTGTCAACGCCGGTGCGTGCTGTTTGTCGTCTCCGCTTGCCCTATACCCCTTGCCGTGCCGATTTCTCATCCCTCGACGGTGACGCTCCAGGCTTTGGCATGGATAAGCTGATCCTGGGCTCGGAAGAGGGCGCACACTGGATGTACCGCAACAAGGACCGTGGCATCATGGCTGCGGCGGCCAGCTTGGGCTTGGTCCTGCTCTGGGATGTGGATGGCGGCTTGACCCGCATCGACCCATACATTGAGTCAGACAACGAATACATCAAGGCTGGCGCGCTCCTAGCCGTCGGGTTGGTCAACTCAACCGTACGCAACGAGCACGAGCCGGCACTTGCTCTCTTGCAAGGTCGGTAGTACCATGCTCGGTTGTTTTCTTGCGTGTTTGTTTGTTGACTGGTCTGTGCATTTATGATCTTCCTCCGCGCGTTGGCTCACATTACTATTGGACTTGCACGACCAGACTATATCACCGACAAAAAGTCCATTTATCAGGTCGGTGCCATCCAGGGTTTGGGTCTGGCCTACGCCGGTACAGCCCACGAGTATGTGACAGAGCTGTTGATGCCTGTGCTCGAATCAACCGATAACAACATGGAGGTGCTGGCCACCACTGCTCTGGCTTTGGGCCAGATTCATGCCGGCACAGCCAACGGCGATGTCAGTGAAGCTATTGTACAGTGCATGCTCCTCCAGGAGGGCCCCAAACTGCTCAAGGAGACCTATGCCCGTTTCCTTCCCCTGGCCCTTGGCCTCATCTACCTGGGCAAGCAGCAGGATGCTGAGGTGAGCCCGGGAGCCTGACACACAACGCCGCCTTCTTGATCTGCCTGTTGCTGGCTTTGGCCACTCTGTATGACCTCGGTATGGGTGGTTGATATAGGTCGTCTTGGCGACGCTGGAGACGTTGGAAGGTCCTTTCGGCAAGGTGGCACAGATTGTGGTGGAGGCATGTGCCTACACGGGCACGGCCAACGTGCTGAAGGTGCAAAAGATGCTTCATGTCTGCTCTGAACACTTTGACACGAGCAAAGAGGGTGCCGAAAAGGACGATTTGCATCAAGCCTATGCCGTGGTTGCCATCAGCATGATTGTCATGGGCGAGGAGGTTTCGGTGGAAATGGCGCTGCGCACCATGCAGCACCTTCTCCAATACGGCGAGCCCGTCATCCGCCGGTAGGTGCCAGTGACGCCGCGCCAAGACTCGTCGCTTCTGTCGACGTTTAGCCAGTCGTGATGCTGTTTCCAAGCTCATTGCTTTTGCCAACGCCCGACGCTTCTTTCTGTGGCCACTCTCCGTCAGAGCGGTGCCGGTGGCCATGGCCCTGATGTGTGCCTCCAACCCCGACCTGGCTGTCTTGGACATTCTCAGCAAGCTTAGCCACGACGCTGATGCCGAGACAGCTTACAACGCCATCATGGCCATGGGCATTGTTGGCGCCGGTACCAACCACGCCCGCATCGCAGACTTGCTTCGCCACCTTGCACAGTACTACAGCAAGGATGCGGACGTCCTCTTCATTGTTCGCACTGCACAGGTACGACGAGGTACCTTTCCATCGGGACAGATGGAAGTATCCGGTTTCACCAATTTTTTTGGTTTTGTTTTGTTTTGTTTTTTCCTTTGAGTAGGGTCTGCTTTACACGGGCAAGGGCAGCATTACCGTGTCGCCCGTCCACACGGAGCGCACGCTGGTCTCACCCCCCGCCGTGGCTGGCCTCTTGACCTTCTTGCTCGGCCTTCTCGATGCGAAAAATGGTGAGTGTTCCGGCTACCCGCGCGACCACCGCCCTTTGTCTGCGATTCGAGGTGGCCGTTGGTGGAAGGGTGGGCCTTTGTACATTGAGCATTGAGAACCGTACGTGGTTGGTGGCTAACTGCAATGTTCATCTGCTGAACGCACAGTCTTTTTGAAGGATGGCCACTGCATGATGTACAGTTTGGCTCTGGCCATGTACCCGCGCATTCTCAGCACCTTTGACGAGGAGCTCAACCCGCTCAACATTTCTGTGCGCGTCGGCCAAGCCGTTGATGTTGTTGGCCAAGCCGGTACGTCTCGCGCCTCTTGTCGATTTATGATGTTGCTAGACGGCGAGTGCGCTCTGCCTGGCATCCCTCTCTCACGGACACGCCTCGATTGATCACGTTTTACAAACTAATAGGCAAACCCAAGACCATCACTGGTTTTACGACGAACAACACGCCCGTGCTCCTGGGCTATGGCGAGCGTGCGCAGCTGGCCACAGAGGAGTACAAGGCCATCACGCCCATTTTGGAGGGCTTTGTCATTGTGCAAAAGGCTGCCGAAGATACGCAAACGGCGTAAATTGAAGTTGTGTTTTTTTTTTTTTGCTTGAAGCCAATGTTTCCATCAATGTTGACATTTCAATTCCTCCTGCTCGGCAGGATCGTGAGGTTGGGATGATAGGGTACAGGCACCACAAGTGACAGGGATACGGCCGAGCAAACGCGTGGGCGGCCTACGACGTAACGGGCTGGTCTGGCGGTTGAAACAATCTTTGGCGCACGACCGCTGCCAAACACCAAGAGCAAGTCAGGTGAGCGCAGGACACGTCTCTCACATAGCCAGGCAGTGAGAAAAGTGGAACGAGTCCGAGACATGAAGGAGGACAAGAGCTTTGTAGCAGTTCGGGTCTTACCCATTTCACCCGCCACGTGCCGGACCAATGGTTGTTTGTTGGGCGTGTGCCGAGCTGAGGCAATGACCTTGAGCTGCCATGGTCGGGCAGGTGGGGCACGCGACGACGGCGATGAGAACGATTGTGAAAGCATGCCAGTCGATGTGCTCACAAGGTGCGGGGCAAGACGAAGCAATTGGGATGCAGGAATTGTGTCGATGACGTACAGCGCGCAGGGTGGCGGGCGAGGTAGTAGAGTCCTGCTGGCCGGGCTGGTTGTCTTGAGGTTCATACCCCAGCTTCTCTCGCGACACGTTGAGCTCGCTGGCCAAAAGGATAGCCTCGTCACTTAGGTCTTCATCGGATGGGGTCGTTGTCTTGTGCCAGAACTGGGGCCCCATCACAATGGACAGCGGCTCATGGTCAAGCACTGCTTCTGTCCATGGAGGGTCTACACGCACGTGATCGCCCGCGCTGCGCATTTGGGCTTGTGAGAAGCAGGCGCAACTGAGTAGATGACGAGGCCAAGCATCAGGACAGAGATGCCGAGTATTTGACATACGTCAAGGCAGCAGCGCGGGGGTCACCGTGGGCAAAGACGACTGAAACTTCACTGTCAGGGTGCCCTGACAGCACCCGAGCATGCGCTGAGAGGACACCACAGCGGGTTTGCACCGCCTCCAGTTGTAGGCAAAGATAGCGCTCGTCCGGCAATTCTTGCTGCCGACAAAATGGCAGACGCACATAAAAAAGTGAAAGCCTGTTGTATGACCAGCGTACCAAGGTGACACGGATTCAAAGGAGCGGGGTTTGTACCTGGCGGAGGAGGTGAAGGTAGAGGTTGGTTTCGGCCGCAAGGTAGGCCATGAGCTGAGTACATTGTTCAGCTAGACCGCCTCGCTGAAGACGACGGTTCTTGCGACCATGCTCCGAGCTTGGCACGGGCGCTGGAGGCAGAGCAGCTGCAGAGAGGTCCAGTTGAGCCAAGATAGGGTTCATGCTTTTGGTGCTGGCCTGAGCGCTGCCGGGACCAGAGGCACGCAAAGTGCTAGAAGCCCCTGGTGCCGTGCCTTCGAAAATACGACGCCGCTCGGCAACATTATCATTTTCTCCCAAAAGACCTCCCGATGAACCGTCGCTGGGGAATAGTGTCTACAGCCATGGACAGGAATGCATGTATCGGGGATGAACTGACCCCGACTGTAATCAACAACAAACATGATGGCGAGTCGAAGGAGGTGCATGAGCAATGTGCTGCGTACGCGCAAGTCAGTCCGGGCCGGGGCACGGCTGTGGCCGGCGTTGGGGGTGACGAAATGGGTAGCAGTAATCAAAGTTGAGGTCATTGCTGAATTCTCCTCGAAATCGTCATCCGACTCGATGGTATCCGCCTCCCTGGGGCCAGAACAACACGCCGGGGTCAGGATGTGTAGCGAGCGCAGCAAGGCAAAGAAATTGATGGGCATCGATGGGCATCACTTGGAAGCGGGTAGCACGTACGGAGATGTAGCAGCTGTCGGGGTGGCCACGGCGGTGCTGCGAACTTCAAACAAAGGTTGGGACGCGCTGGAAAACGAGGTATCGAGACAAACAGTACGCGTGAGCGTGCAGGCACACGCGATCCGGGGAAGATGCGCCAGGTGAGGGTGAGAGCGCGAGCGTGAAACGAAGCACGAGCCTCGGACCTGGGGGCGCGAGGAGCCCGAGGATTTGACCAGGTGGACCACCAAGGGGGGGCATCTTGAACAGGAGCGCCGCGGGGGGGGCGATGAAGGGGGGTGGAAATGGTGCTTGTGCGAGATTTTGCAGGGCGATAAGGAGCGTGGTGCGGGGTGACGGCTTCGATGTGATGAGTTTTCCGCGCAGAAGCTGGAATCGGTCCGGCGACGAGAAGCGCGTGGGCGGGCGACGGGTTGACCATGGGCACAAGATCAGGCCCGGGCGTTGCAACCAACCCCGAATGAGTTCCGTCTGGGCTTTTGGAGTTGCCGCTCCAGGGTGAGGAGGAGCGGTTGGCGTACGGCGATGTGGGAGTCATGTTCTCAATGTCATCGTCACTTGAGAGGTCGTCGCCATCATTGACACCTTCCACGCAGCCATTGCTGATACTACTGCGGTGCCGGGTTGAATCGGGGCGGGTGCTGGGCCGCGGCTCCGCCGGCGGTGCGTCTAGGACTGCTGTATTTGGCGGCGCAGTGGCGTTTGCGGGCACGGGTGTGTGTTTTTCAGTCGGTGCCAAGGCGGGTGTTGCGCGTCGCTTGCGGCGCGGGCGGCGCTGAAAGGTGGGACTGGACGCCCGCTCAGGCTCGAGTTTGGGTGAGACCAGGGGCTCGTCTGGGGCGGCGACGTGCTTGACGCGCTTGGTGGCGGGTTTGGCTTGTTCTGCGGTGCCCTGCATCTCAGCGTTGCGTGCGGGCCAATCAGACATGGCTCACGCACCCGCTTCCATGATCTGCTGCCGCCCTGGCTGGTGATGATGCCGACCGCCACGCCGCGCAACCGATCAAAAGCGCGAAAGAAAGGTAGTGTGTGTCGCTCAGTGAGATGTCAAAGTTGATGACTTGCCAACGCCCACTGCATTCCCATTTCGGTCAGGTTTTTGCCGCTGCCGTTTGTCGCACCATCAAGCACACGAGAGAGAGAGAGAGAGAGGGAAATGGAAAAAGTCGACAATTCGTGCTCTCGTTTTGGCGGGAAACAACAAACGGCGTAACGGTCAGAAACCGTTCGCGGGCCTTGCATTGTGTGACAGCTGCTACACTCAAAGTATTTGTCAGACAAATGGTGGCAGCGCAGAGCGTTGAAATTTGAATAGTTTGGCCAAGGTTTTTGTTTTGTTTAGTTTTGAAAAGCACATGTAGCTGGATGTTTTCTTTTGGGGACCTCGAAAGTTAAATTGGCATCCCGGAAATGAAGACCTCGAATGGCAGCCAGGGGGGGGGAACGCACAACCAATCGAGCTGGGCCTGCGGCCATGGGTTCCATGCGATTAGCTCTGGTCGCAGATGTGAGATGAACACCGGTACCGGCCCAGCGTCTGAGACACCCAAGCGCTCTCAGACCATGCATGAATGGCGTGTAATGGAGGAGTGTGTGATACAGGAGCCAGTTCCTATGGCTGCTTGCCGACTATCCATCATCTCCCTTTGTCTCTCTCTCTCTCTCTCTCTCTCTCTCTCTCTCTCTCTCTCTCTCTCTCTCTCTCTCTCTCTCTCTCTCTCTCTCTCTCTCTCTCTCTCTCTCTCTCTCTCTCTGTGAAACTCACGGCACACCACTCTCTCACTTTTCACACACACACACACATTCTCTCTGAGTGTATTTTGATCAGGAGAGAGACGAGCCGCCTCAGTGGCATTGCAAAGTCGAGTGGCATCTGGCTCCTTTCAGGCTGGCTGCAGCTTGGGACGCCTCTTTGGAGAGTCAAGTCTGGACGAGAGGTGTTCGTCAGCAAGTCTCTCATCCCTCTCGCCTGCCTGCCTGCTGCGTTTGTTGGCGGCGCGTCTCGTAGCTCAATCGCTTCGAGCCTCCGCACCCCACACACACACACACACACACACACACACTCGGGCTCGCACGCCCAGGGTTTTGATACAACGATACCATGGCGCGGCCCAAGAACCCCATGATCACGCTGAACGACGGGCATCAGCTGCTGGGGACCTCGGAAGACGACGCTCTGCCTCCGCAGCCGTCCCCTGCCACCGCCGCTGCACCGGCTTCACCCCCTCACGCTGCCATCACCACCACCGGGGCTCGGGCAGCCTACGACCTTCTCACTGAATCCCCACCCCCATCTCCGGCTGGCAATCGCCCGCGTTCCCACAGCGGGCCGCAAGTGCGCAATGCCAGTGAATCCCCGCCTCGCCGCCAATCGGACTCGGCCCGCGCCTCGCTCCGCCGGCAACGCTCCAGCGCCTCGGAGAGCGACGTTCGCCTCCGCTCCTACTCCTTTGACCGCTCTGGCAGCGTTCCGTATCCAGCTACACGCCCCAACGAGCCGTCTCAAAGCCCAATCCCTCGGCACTGGCAGCAACTCGGATACCTCTGCTTTCAGCTCTGACCAATTGGCCACCTCGCCCGAATCCCCCACCACCCGCACCCCTGAGCAAATAGCCCTTCAACAAGCCGACATTGCCGCTTGTCAACAACGCTACGCGTACGTGCCTGCGGTCCTAGATCACTCACACATGCGCGCTCGCGAGCACACACACACACACACACACACACACACACACACACACACACACACACACACACACACACACACACACACTTTAAAGTAACGTAGATGCGTCCAAGGCTGCTCATGATCGCTGCGGTGTCCTCTTGCTTTCTTTTACATTTAGGCGCTTCTTGAGCGATGTGACCTGCTACGACATCATGCCTCCCAGCGTCAAAATGGTTGTCTTTGACATTGACCTCAAGGTGCGGTGGTTGACACTCCAGAGCGCCGGTGGTGTTTGGTTCATTTGACCTCATGCCTGCCCCATGCCTCCTCGCTGGAACGCCCCTGCGGCAATGAGCAGGTCAAAAAGGCATTTTTCGCCTTGGTCCAAAACGGCATTCGCAGCGCCCCACTATGGGATAGTCGCCGACAGCAGTTTGTGGGCATGATTACCGTCACGGGTACGTGTCACACACACGCACATATTTGCACACACGCGCATGTGCGCGTCATTTGCTGCTCGTCCCCGTCAGTGGCATGTTCTAGCTACCGGTTCACGTACCAACTGTTTCCTGAATATATAGACTTTATCAAGATTCTCCGCCGATACTACGTGTCCCCGCAAACACAAATGATCGAACTGGAGGAGCATCGCATTCGCAGCTGGCGTGGTGCGTCACCCGCACACCCACAACGGCCATCACGTGCTCCCTTTTTCATAATGCCTTGCCATTTTTTTTTGAATATATAGAAATGTCACGACGCCACCGACCCGACGTCCTTGTCTGCGTTGACCCCATGATCAGGTCAGATCCCGATGGCATCTATCTGTGGCTGTGTCTGTGGATCTGAATCCCTAGCTGTTGCTGTGATTGTCCGCCCATCGGCCTGGCTGCACGCTTGCCACACGGCCTTGCTCACTTTCCTCTGTATTGCTCATTTTTAGCTTGCACACCGCTACAAGACTACTCCTGGAGGAGAAAATTCATCGCCTGCCCGTCATCGACTCCCTCACAGGCAATGCGCTATCTGTCCTGACCCACAAGCGCATCCTGCACTTTATCCATGCCAATGTATGTCCCTGCTACAGATAACCTCGTTGACATGTGTCCGAGTTACAGGCGTGTGGTATTTATGCTGGCCTCTTTGGATTGCGTCTGCCCCAAACCGGTTTGGCCGATTCTGTAGATGCACAATGAGCATCGACCATCCATGCTGTCCATCAAGCTAGGTGATTTGATGATTGGCACCTACAAAAACATTGCCACGGTGAGTTGTGTCGCGCGGGTCTCTTTGCTATTGTTACCGGCTTTTGAATCTTAGGAATTTCAGTTTTGGCGTTGTCCTATGCTCCCGTTGTGGGACATGTCCGTGACTCATGTCTGGGGCTGGTGTCATGTAGCTCAAGCCCGATGACCCGATTATCCGAGCGCTGGAGCTTTTCGTCGAGAAGCGCGTGTCGGCTCTTCCCGTTCTCAATGCGGAGGGCCAAGTTACGGACATTTATGCCAAACACGACGTCATCAACTTGGCCCGTGAAGGCACATACGACAACCTCGACATTAGCGTCAGCTCAGGCCTGCAACACCGACAGCAGGGCTTTGAGGGGGTCAAGACATGCAAGCTGTCACATAGTATGGGCCAGATTATTGATCGCATCGTCAATGCCAACGTCCACCGCCTCGTCGTGGTGGATGATGACATGCACCTCCTCGGCATCCTCAGCCTCTCGGATGTCCTCAAGTATCTCCTCGGCTAGTTTTGCTGATCTGTTTCTGGAGAAAGTGCTTTTGCTTGCGTGCAGCCTGTACCACGGGGCCCGAGCCGCCCCGACCGGGCCGCGTGCTTGCCTTGATACAATCCGTGTGTTATTATCCCTTATCAATGCCACCACGCACGTGTGCCTCGGTGTTTGCGTTGGACCTCACCTTTGCCAGACTGTGAGTGGTTTACTTTATGTCTCTGGGTGTTGACAGCTTTATTTTGTGTGTGTGTGTGTGTGTGTGTGTGTGTGTGTGTGTGTGTGTGTGG